TCTAAATGATTGATCAGTTTTATTATAATCCTAATAAAGATTGCTAATTAGTTGTATGATATCGTAAGAATCTTGATTATATTAATGAAACATATCTTTGAATTGTCAGCGCCGTCCAGCTTATAATGTTTTTCGACATTCTAATCTGTCCTTGGCAACTTCTTCGCTAAACATTCCATTTTACATATTTCTAGTTTTATTTTAACAGATTTCCTTCCATATATTACATGAACATGTCATAACATAAAAATAAAATACAAAACAAAGAAAATGCGAAGAACATGGGTACTCGCGGAAGAAAGCTGTAGGTTTTTAGGTCAACTATGTAAAACATATATGTATATTTAATAATTAGTAACCAACAATCTACATGCCAAGACTCCTATATATAAATTAAATGTAGTGTTTAAGAAGTCACATACGAAAAAGAAAGTGAGATAATAATAATCCAAAAAAAAAACTCTTGTTTTTGCCAACGTTTTAGACGATCAAATGGCTTACATTTACCAAATTTCAGCAGTTGTGTTTCTAGCGGTTGCGATTGCTCCGCTATTAGCTGACCCACAGTCACCGATGTTTCCCGATATGACTCCTGAATGTGCCACGGTTATGCCTGACCTGCTCGAAAAGTGTTTCGCAACCGGTAGTGTGACGCCAACAGAAGATTGCTGCACCGATCTAAAATCCGCAACCTCAACGCAAGTCACTTGCCTTTGTGATAACCAGGGGCGGACCCAAGATATTTTATTACCCGGGTCAAATTGCTATAACATTATATCATTAAACCAAATTGTGCTAGATTTAAATATACATAACCTATGCTATTAACAAGAAATTTTGAAATTTAAGGAGGTCAGTTGACCCTCCTTTGATACACATAGGTCCGCTACTGGTGATAACTACATTGCAAATCCGGCCGTTGCGAACATCACTGGACCTTACTCCAAAGCAATCACAACCAAATGCGGCGTTTTCGACAAATTCTCTTGCGACGGTACTAGTAAAGGTACGTTACCAGGCCAACTCTTTTATGTTATAGTAATTTCAAACAAGAATGGTGCGTTCATGGTAACTAATTGATTTTGGTTTTGTGTGGTGAAGGAGGAGAAGAAAAGAAAGGAGGAAGCAGCAGTAGCAACGGCAAAGGCAATGGCACGAGTCAGGGAAATGGAGGAACAACGAACAAGGTTGCTGCATTAATGGCTATGTTTGGTTTGGTTGCAAGTCTGGTCTTTGTTATGTTTTGATTTAGTTATTTTTTATTCATATCAAGAAAATATGTGAACCCACCAAATTTTATGTAATTTTTCTTATTCTTCTTCTTAATTTTTCCTCCCAAGAAAATCTGTGAACCCAAAACAATCACGTACGTTTATATGATTGCATGATTTTGCATCTGTTAACGTTTATTTGCATTCTTTGAATTCCAAAAAAAAAAAGACGTTTATTTGTATGTTTTAACTTTGTTTGGGCCATATTGATGAGCTTATAATGGCCCATGAAATACCAAGCTAGAAAAATGAGTTTGTGATTATGAAACTCGCCAACAAAAATATCAGTCGGTTTAGTTACAAAACAAAAATATCAGTCGGTTTATTCCAATTTTGACATTTTGGTTTGGTTCAATTCGATTTTCCAGATCAGAAGTCCCTCGAAGATATCTCAAAATCCACTTCACAGCATTCCAGTGTTCTCTTCCAGGATTGGAGAGAAAACGACTAACTGTACCAACAGCGTGAGCTATATCAGGTCTTGTACAGACCATAGCATACATCAAGCTACCAACTGCAGAAGCATATGGAACCCGTGCCATATCTTCCTTCTCTAACTTTGTTTTTGGACTCTGTTGACTGTTCAATCTAAAGTGTGTAGCAAGAGGAGTGCTAACAACTTTAGACTTGTCCATGTGAAACCTTTGAAGTACCTTTTCAATGTACCTCTCCTGAGATAAGTAAATCAACTTCTCACCTCTATCTCGAACAATTCTCATACCAAGAATCTGTTTCGCTGGACCCAAATCTTTCATGGCAAAGGACTTTCCAAGCTGGTTTTTCAACTCTTGAATTCTGCTCAAGTTCTTGCCAACAATCAACATGTCATCAACATACAATAGCAAGACGATAAAATCATCTTCACCAAACATTTGCACAAACACACAATGATCAGAAGTAGTCTTCTTATAACCATGCTCCCCCATAACTGACTCAAACTTCTTATACCACTGCCTTGGTGCCTGTTTCAAACCATAAAGACTTTTCTTCAAGCGACAAACTAAATCCTCTTTGCCCTTTTTCACAAAGCCTTCCGGTTGTACCATGTAAATCTCTTCCTCCAAATCTCCATGAAGAAAAGCAGTCTTTACATCCATTTGCTCAACCTCTAGATCAAGGCTCGCTGCCAATCCAAGTACAACCCGAATGGATGACATCTTCACAACAGGAGAAAAGATTTCATCATAATCAATCCCCTTCTTTTGGCTGTACCCTTTCACAACCAATCTAGCCTTGTATCGAGGTGACAAACTGGTCTCATCATGCTTAATCTTGTACACCCACTTATTAAGCAATGCCTTCTTGCCCTTAGGCAATTTTACCAACTCAAAAGTATGGTTCTCTGCAAAAGAATCCATCTCGTCACCCATGGCATCATGCCATTCATCTTTGTGTTCATCCTCTAAAGCTTCATCAAAGCTCTCAGGTTCTCCCCCATCAGTAAGTAGCACATACTCACTAGGATCATACCTTGTCGACGGTTTTAGACCTCTCTCAGATCTTCTAACAATAGGAGGGTCTCGGTAGTTGGTGTCTCACCATGATCGTCATCATGATCACCAATATCATCATCATGTGCGGGAGCATCTGCACCAGGTGTATCAACTTGAACCTCATCCTCGACCTGACCGTGAACCGATGTAGAAGGAGCAACCACTGAATCAATCAAACTCTCATAACTCTGAGTTGGATTTCCGGACTTGTCAATGTCCTTAATCGTTTGATCTTCCATGAACACAACATCTCTGCTCCTAATGAGCTTCTTCTCAACGGGATCATAAAATCTGTATCCAAACTCATCTTGACCATAACCAATGAACACACATTGTCGCGACTTCATCTCAAGCTTCGACCTTTCATCCTTGGGAATATGAACAAATGCCTTACACCCAAAGACCCTCAAATGACCATAAGAAACGTTCTTACCGGTCCACACCCTCTCTGGAATATCACCCTCCAATGGAGCACTCGGTGATAGATTCAGCACATGAACAACCGTGCTTAAAGCCTCACCCCAGAAAGTCATCGCCAAGCCTGATTGTGAAATCAAACATCTCATTCTCTCGACAATAGTTCTGTTCATCCTCTCAGCCAACCCATTCAACTGTGGAGTCTTAGGCGGCGTGAACTGATGTCTAATACCATGTTCCTTGCAATAAACATCAAATGGTCCAGAATACTCACCACCATTATCACTGCGGATACACTTCAACTTCTTTCCCGTCTGTCTCTCAACCAATGCCACAAACTGCTTGAAGTATCCTAGAACCTGATCTTTCGTCCTCATAGTAAAAACCCACAACTTCCTTGAATGATCATCAATGAAAGTGACAAAATATGATGCACCACCAAGAGATTTTGTTTTCATTGGACCACACACATCTGAATGAACCAGATCAAGTACCTCAGGTTTTCTAGAAGGTGCAGAAGACTTGAAAGAGACCCTGTGTTGTTTTCCCCGCAAACAATGCGCACATTTATCCAAGTGCAAACCGGAGATACCTGGAATAGCTTCCTTCTTAGACAACACAGACATTCCCTTCTCACTCATGTGACCGAGTCTCTTATGCCACAATTCCATGGCATGATCATTCTCCAAAGCATTAACACTGTCTTTGGAGACCTTAGCCTGCATCAAATAGAAAGATGAAAGCTTCTCCCCTCGAGCCACAACCAAAGAACCACGTGAAAGCTTCCATTTACCACCGCCGTGTAAACTGTAGAAACCTTCATCATCAAGTCTTCCCGTAGATATCAAATTCATCCGAAGATCTGGGACATGCTTAACATCTTTAAGCATAAGTCTAGTCCCAATACTAGTCTCCAAGCAAATATCACCAATGCCAACAACTTGAGCCAAACCATCATTCCCCATCTTCACAGAACCATAACTACCCGGAGTATAGGTAGAGAACAAATCCCGCTGTGATGTAGCATGAGTAGTAGCTCCACTATCAACCACCCAACTGGTGTCTTGACATACATTAATGGCATCATCTTCAAGAAGAATGAGAAATTGATCGTCAGTGATTGTCACACGATCTACTTCTTCTTGCTTCCCTTGCTGCTTGTCTTTCTTCAACTTCCAGCAGTCTTTCTTTATGTGCCCTTTCTTATGACAATAATGGCACTCTAAATTCGCAAATTTGTTAGATTTGCTCCTGCTCCTGTTCTTATCTTTCTTGGGATCTCTAGATGAACTCCTCCCCCTTGACTCAGTGACTAACACATCTGATCTTGAGGAACTAGCATTTGACTGCCTTCTAGTTTCCTCATTCAAGACACTGTTTTTCACCATATCCATCGAAATAACACCATTCGAAGTAGAGTTACAAAGAGACATCCTAAACACCTCCCATGAATCTGGTAGTGTACCAAGAAGCCACAGACCGTGAATCTCATCCTCAAACTTGATTCCCATATCAGACAGTTTATTGAGCAGCCCCTGAAATACATTTAAGTGATCAGTCATTGGAGTTCCCTCCTGATATCTCAACTCAATCAACTTCTTGATCATGTACATCTTATCATTCCCGGTCTTCCGAGCGTACAATTGCTCTAGCTTCAACCACAAAGAACGAGCATCAATCTCATTTTCAATATGATTCAACACATTATCATCTACCCATTGCCTTATCAAACCACACACTTGGCGATGTTGCAACTTCCACTGATCATCAGTCTTCTCTACAGGTTTCTTCTCCTCAAAGACTGGAACATGAAATTCTTTCACAAAAAGCAAATCTTCCATCTTGCCTTTCCATAGATGATAATTAGAACCATTCAAGCTTATCATTCTGCCCATATTTTCCATCCTGCCCATATTTTCCATTGCTCACAGAAGCAAATTAATAACCCAAAGTTATCAAACCCAAAGCTCAAAACCAACCTGGCTCTGATACCACTCTGTTGGGGAAACAACACACGATTACGCAGCGGACTAAAGTTTCACCCGAACTAATGTAAACCTTGTGAGGAAAATACAATGGACTTGGCAGCAATAACTTCAAAAACTTAAAGTAAATGAGACCACCAATTTTTACGTGGAAAACCTTCTCGATGTGAGAAAGAAAAACCACGGGACCGTAGTCCACTCAAAATCCACTATATCAAATGTATGAGTGTTACAACCACGTCCTCCCTGTTCCACAAGAACAGATACAGAGACTAAGGCTCCAAAGAGCAATCTCCAAACACAAGAAAACTCAGCAAGAGAGCAATACAAGAGCTTAGAAATAAGCAGTTCCAAACGACCCTAGGTTCGCTAAGATTCCGGTCACCAAATCAAATCTCCACCGTACAAATCCTAGATAAACAGGTCAGGAACACCTCTGCAAAATTTCAGCTCAAACCGAGAAGAACTCACCGTTGGATCTTTCAAACACTCAAGACCACACCAGCTGAAGAACTATGGCGACCAGCTACGCTAAAACTCGGATTTCTCACAAACCAACCGTTGAAACAAAATCTCCACCGTTGAATCTGAAGACCACTGAGTCACGAAGCTATCCACAAAATATCAGCCCGATCAGAACACTTTAGAGCCCTCAAACGTTGTCTTGAATAATCTGGCCGAAATCCCCTTTCTCTCTCTTTTCTTCTTCTCTCTCTTTTTGTTTTTCTTTTTCTTTTTCTTGTGTGTTATCTCTTGCCGACACTTTCTTTTTCTTCTTTTATATATATATATATAATATATACATATAATTTTCCTTCCTCCACTAGAAGGAATAAACAACACACGTCAACGGCATTGAAATTGTAATAGTAATCGGCTTTCTTCACACATCATTAGAATGAACTGTCGATTCCATCTAAATGATTGATCAGTTTTATTATAATCCTAATAAAGATTGCTAATTAGTTGTATGATATCGTAAGAATCTTGATTATATTAATGAAACATATCTTTGAATTGTCAGCGCCGTCCAGCTTATAATGTTTTTCGACATTCTAATCTGTCCTTGGCAACTTCTTCGCTAAACATTCCATTTTACATATTTCTAGTTTTATTTTAACAGATTTCCTTCCATATATTACATGAACATGTCATAACATAAAAATAAAATACAAAACAAAGAAAATGCGAAGAACATGGGTACTCGCGGAAGAAAGCTGTAGGTTTTTAGGTCAACTATGTAAAACATATATGTATATTTAATAATTAGTAACCAACAATCTACATGCCAAGACTCCTATATATAAATTAAATGTAGTGTTTAAGAAGTCACATACGAAAAAGAAAGTGAGATAATAATAATCCAAAAAAAAAACTCTTGTTTTTGCCAACGTTTTAGACGATCAAATGGCTTACATTTACCAAATTTCAGCAGTTGTGTTTCTAGCGGTTGCGATTGCTCCGCTATTAGCTGACCCACAGTCACCGATGTTTCCCGATATGACTCCTGAATGTGCCACGGTTATGCCTGACCTGCTCGAAAAGTGTTTCGCAACCGGTAGTGTGACGCCAACAGAAGATTGCTGCACCGATCTAAAATCCGCAACCTCAACGCAAGTCACTTGCCTTTGTGATAACCAGGGGCGGACCCAAGATATTTTATTACCCGGGTCAAATTGCTATAACATTATATCATTAAACCAAATTGTGCTAGATTTAAATATACATAACCTATGCTATTAACAAGAAATTTTGAAATTTAAGGAGGTCAGTTGACCCTCCTTTGATACACATAGGTCCGCTACTGGTGATAACTACATTGCAAATCCGGCCGTTGCGAACATCACTGGACCTTACTCCAAAGCAATCACAACCAAATGCGGCGTTTTCGACAAATTCTCTTGCGACGGTACTAGTAAAGGTACGTTACCAGGCCAACTCTTTTATGTTATAGTAATTTCAAACAAGAATGGTGCGTTCATGGTAACTAATTGATTTTGGTTTTGTGTGGTGAAGGAGGAGAAGAAAAGAAAGGAGGAAGCAGCAGTAGCAACGGCAAAGGCAATGGCACGAGTCAGGGAAATGGAGGAACAACGAACAAGGTTGCTGCATTAATGGCTATGTTTGGTTTGGTTGCAAGTCTGGTCTTTGTTATGTTTTGATTTAGTTATTTTTTATTCATATCAAGAAAATATGTGAACCCACCAAATTTTATGTAATTTTTCTTATTCTTCTTCTTAATTTTTCCTCCCAAGAAAATCTGTGAACCCAAAACAATCACGTACGTTTATATGATTGCATGATTTTGCATCTGTTAACGTTTATTTGCATTCTTTGAATTCCAAAAAAAAAAAGACGTTTATTTGTATGTTTTAACTTTGTTTGGGCCATATTGATGAGCTTATAATGGCCCATGAAATACCAAGCTAGAAAAATGAGTTTGTGATTATGAAACTCGCCAACAAAAATATCAGTCGGTTTAGTTACAAAACAAAAATATCAGTCGGTTTATTCCAATTTTGACATTTTGGTTTGGTTCAATTCGATTTTCCGCAAATAAAAAAGCATGAAGCCGGTCCAAAACCCGGCGATGCTTATCCGTTTAGAAGGTACTAGAAGAAACCCTTATTCACTTGCCTTTTTCTCCAAATTCTCGAAATCGAAACACACGACTTAAACAGAAAAAGACGAGACTTTTAACACTCAGACCTAAACCAACACTCTTCCTCTTTCTCTCTCTCGCCGATCGGAAGCAGATTTTTTTCTCAAAGGATGGATTCAACGAAGCTTAGCGAACTCAAGGTCTTCATCGATCAATGCAAGTCTGACCCTTCTCTTCTCACTACTCCTTCCCTCTCCTTCTTCCGCGACTATCTCGAGAGGTTTGCTTCGATCTAATCGTTTTCTTATGCTTTAGTTTGTATCTGTGATGGTTTAGGTTTAGTAAAGTATTGATCTTTGAGTCTCTGTTTGTGTACAAAGTGTATTGCCCTGATCTCATACTGAAATGTATTGTGGAATTGATAAACCCTTTACTCTCTTGTGGATGAAAGTTCTTGTCTTTGGTTTTAATTTCTTGGATTTAGTGAAAAAGTGTATGTGTTTCTGATGAATTTTGGTATCTTTATGATTTCAGTCTTGGTGCTAAGATACCTACTGGTGTTCATGATGAAGAGAAAGACACCAAACCGGTATACACCTTTGTTTTGTTTGATTCAATTGAATTCGTTTGTGTTTTTGCAGAAGAGTTTGTTTTTGACTTGATTGTTTGTGTTTAACAGAGGAGTTTCGTAGTGGAAGAGAGTGATGATGATATGGAGGAAACTGAAGAACCGAAACCGAAAGTGGAGGAAGAAGAAGAAGATGATGAGATTGTTGAATCTGATGTAGAGCTTGAAGGAGACACTGTTGAACCTGATAATGATCCTCCTCAGAAGGTACGATGATGACTAAGCTTTCTATTTACTAATTTCTCTCTGATTATGTGTTTCTGACTCTCTTGCTTTTGATACAGATGGGGGATTCATCAGTGGAGGTGACTGATGAGAATCGCGAAGCTGCTCAAGAAGCTAAGGGCAAAGCCATGGAGGCCCTTTCTGAAGGAAACTTTGATGAAGCAATTGAGCATTTAACTCAGGCAATAACGTTGAACCCGACTTCAGCTATTATGTATGGAAACAGAGGTTAGTACAAGTTGATGTTGTTCTTTTAACTTCCATCAGATGGGTCCATCAGATGGGTTTCTGAGCCTGATTGTCTATATTTGTGTTTCAGCTAGTGTCTACATTAAGTTGAAGAAACCAAACGCTGCTATTCGAGATGCAAACGCAGCATTGGAGGTACAATGGTCTACAATTTTCCTTGGGAATTTTGTTTTATGGTGATGATATTGAATCGTTTTTGTGTTTGTGATCACAGATTAACCCTGATTCTGCCAAGGGATACAAGTCACGGGGTATGGCTCGTGCCATGCTTGGAGAATGGGCAGAGGCTGCAAAAGACCTTCACCTTGCATCTACAATAGACTATGATGAGGAAATTAGTGCTGTTCTCAAAAAGGTATGTGCGGGTTTTTCTATCTGTTTAATCTCTTTTGATTCTTTAACAATGCATTAGCGTGATTCTGTTACAAACTTTTTTCAAATTTTGTAGGTTGAACCTAATGCTCATAAGCTTGAGGAGCACCGTAGAAAGTATGACAGATTACGTAAGGAAAGAGAAGACAAAAAGGCTGAACGTGATAGACTACGTCGCCGTGCTGAAGCACAGGTAGCTTCCTAGACCATGAGATCGATCAGAATAATCTTTCGATAACATTAGTCTCAATTTTGTATTGACCTTATCACTTAGCTATAGACTTGGGTTTTGTTTAAATTATGTTGAGCTTATACATGTCTCTCTCTTTCTGTAAGGCTGCCTATGATAAAGCTAAGAAAGAAGAACAGTCATCATCTAGCAGACCATCAGGAGGCGGTTTCCCAGGAGGTATGCCCGGCGGATTCCCAGGAGGTATGCCTGGCGGATTCCCAGGAGGAATGGGCGGCATGCCCGGTGGATTCCCAGGAGGAATGGGCGGTATGCCCGGTGGATTCCCAGGGGGAATGGGTGGTGGTATGCCTGCAGGAATGGGCGGTGGTATGCCCGCAGGAATGGGTGGTGGTATGCCCGGAATGGGCGGTGGTATGCCAGGTGCAGGCGGTGGTGGCGGTATGCCTGGTGGTATGGACTTCAGCAAAATATTGAATGTAAGAGTGACTATTTGTGAATTACAAAAGTCCAGATTTTAGGAAGTTAAACTGCAAAAGAAGAGATTGACATTGCGAGATTGGTTTGATATTTGTGAGCAGGATCCTGAGCTAATGACGGCATTTAGCGACCCAGAAGTCATGGCTGCTCTTCAAGATGGTAAGAGTCAATTAAAATTTGCAGTTAATGTTATACTCTAATGTGTTTTCAGAGTATTTTTGAGATATTGTTTGAATGTTAACAGTGATGAAGAACCCTGCGAACCTAGCGAAGCATCAGGCGAATCCGAAGGTGGCTCCGGTGATTGCAAAGATGATGGGCAAATTTGCAGGACCTCAGTAAACAAAACAACAAGTTTTCTTCTTCTCTTTGCCGATTTCTGTGTTTAACTGCGTGAGAAAAGAGATATGTTGGAGATTTTCTTTTTCTTTTATGTTTTCGTTGGAGAGGAACTTAAAACAATAAAACAGAGCTCTTTTCTCTTCGTTAGTAATTTACCCTTTTTCTCGTGTTTCACTTCCCGAGTATACATGGACCATTATCCTTAAAATCTATTTACATTGAAAGATGAACAAGAGGGTAATTGTTACGAAAATTCATATGACACATCCAATAATTGTTGAGTAGACTGCAAGTCAGCAATCCGTACCATATAAGAGAAAAAAATGTAATATTTTGTGAAACAAAAATCTTTGAGTGGACTTAAAGGGCTTTTAATGTGAAGAATAAGAAGCCAAGGGATCTCTTCGTTTAGTTCGTTGACAAACATGTAGGAGACCAAATAATATACAAGTCCAGTGTTGACGGGTTTGTTGCATTCACATTTAACTTTGTCGTATCATCTCATTTCAAATGATTTGACTCAAAATTTAAACCTTTGAATTTTATTCTTCAAACAATTAAGATACTATTTGACTCGTTTGATATCATCAGGGTAGAAAATACATAAATTTTGGGTTTAAGGAGTTATTTGGTTGGTAATAAGTAAATCTATTTCCTGTAACTATTATTCTACACTAATATAAACTAGTGAACATAAAACGATATGATAAATGCAATTCCAAACTGTGTCTCCACAATATGAGAAATGGTTTCACTTATGGATTAAATTAATAAAAAAAAGTATTGGTTCTCGTTACAAAAAAAAAAAAAAAAAAAATTAGTGGTGCGACAACTAATTCCACAGAGGAAAGGTTTGTGATGTGGAAGTACATTGGGAAACTCCTCCACATACTATTTTTCATACGCATTTTAAGTGACCAAAATCATATAGTCTTTGAAAATCAATACAATTATAAAAAGATGAAAAGTAATAGATACACATCTCTTCTAAGTTAGAAGATTCAAACGCGTTGATAGCGAATCTTAAATTCCGAATCGTCCAAAGTTCGGTGTTGAAGACAGAACTAAACCTACGATAGATTTTTATTTTTATTATTCAACATCTTGTTTGTGGAATGAAATAAAGTATTATTGGTATAGGAATTTTTAAAATTTAAAGTAATAAATATGTAATTTATTATGAAATTTCAAGCTACATATTATGTAAAATTTAGAAAGAATGATGTGTTAGTAATTAAGGAATATTAAATGTATATTCATGATTAAAGATAACAAAAACTAAATACTTTTGAAGTATTTTTTATAACAAAAGTACAAAACACTCAAAATAATGTGATCTTCATTAGTTTGTATGCTAATGTTTCTCTTAAGATTGTTTAGTACAATGATACAATATCCAAAGATATGCAGGAGAGAACTAGTGTCTCAAATTTTAAGAGTTTTGTTTAAACATAACGTTGGACCCTAATATTGAAACATATTATATTTCCTCGGGCTTTGTTAACATGTGAATAATTTATACAAAACAAAGAAAGTAAACTTAATATGTATTCTTGACTTTGACGAAACCCTACCAAACCCTAATTAATAATACTTGAAAACCATGGTGCACACTTACTGCTTTACATGGATGTATTATCTTCTACTATATGTTTATGATTTGTATGCGTGTATATATGTTATATATAATGTACACATATATGTATATGCCCTCCATGCTTGTGACATCTTCCAGAGAGTTGCCAATATGATAATGGTGAACAGTCAAAACCCAAAATCATGAACACCAAAGTCTTGACAATAATCCAAAAACATCTTCTCGTCGTTGATTCTTTCCGGTGACCATATCGGAAAATCTGCATCGGCGCCGGAAATATTATTGTCATATAATGTTCCACCAACGCCAAAGTTACTATCACTCCACGAGGCCTCAGCTTTAGTAGTTTCGTCGGACCATAAGTAACTAAACAATTCATCATCATTATAAATGTTGTCAATTAGATGATTTTCACTATCCATCGAACTGTTTTGATCAGTAACCGTGCTACTACTTTCTTCTTCTGTTGTCGTGCCACTTATCTCCACGTCTTTGGTGTTTGTTGTCTTTGGTTCCACTGATATAGCGTCTGCTGGATTCGACGAAATGGTTTTGGAATTACCTATATTAGAAGGTTCTTGTGGTAGAGGCTGATGGGTCATAGGGTCGATTCCCATCTTAAGAAGTTTTTTCTTGATATGAGTATTCCAATGGTTTTTTATTTCGTTATCTGTTCTTCCAGGTAATCTTGAAGCTATCTTAGACCACCTACAATGCAACCAATGGTTTTAAAAAACAAATTAATCACAAGAATTTATAATATTTTATAAAGTGTTGGTGGATATATATATGTTATAATCTTGGAATAGAAACACAAGAAGATTGACAAAATAAGTTAACATTATCTTTGCCAGAGAAGGACGTTACTTTGTCTTGAAGTTGATTTCAAAGAAAAAATGCAAATCAAAACTTGTTCTACTTATTGGACCAACTTATTTGGAACTATCTAATTTATTATTAGGCATAATTTACATAACACATAAATACACTAAACATGTTGGATCACATGCAATTGACTTAGCTTTATATTTTATGAATAACATACATGATCCAAACTAATGTTTATCTTAAGTCTCTAGTTTTTGTTACAACGTAAAATTTTAATTTTAACATAAATTTGAAAATGTTAAGCCTCCATTCATATATGTGACATAAATCATTAAGTAAGAATTAGAAAAATAAAATAATGGAATTATTATATGATTCGTTATGTAGGCTTACTTATTTCCGAGATGCGCATGAAGATCAATTACAAGTTGTTCTTCATCATGAGATAGAAGGCCTCTCTTTAAGTCAGGCCGGAGATAGTTAGTCCACCGGAGACGGCAGCTCTTTCCACAACGGCGGAGACCGGCCAGCTTCGGCAAAGCACGCCAGCAACAATGGCCGTTGGTGAGTATGAAGTTTATGAGCTTCTTGTCTTCCTCCGCCGTCCACGGCCCTTTCTTCACCCCTAGCTTGTCACAGCATGGCTGCCTCCCCATTAAATACTAAATGATATGTGTGATTGTATATTATGTTATATGGGGATGTGAAATAAAGAGTATAGAGAGATGGAAAACTAAAGTTATTGAGGATGGAAAATCTCAACTGCTTGCAAGTTATGTCAAAAGCCTACCAAAGCTCACCCACCTATATATAACCTTCTCACACCTTTCCCCCACAATTGTTTTCAGAAGAAAAAAAAAATTTACATCTCTATATTTTCAAAAGAGTTTAAATAATTCTTATTAAAAATGTAGTTGCATTATATTATGGCAAGACATTTTTACTAGTAGCGGTTGTAAAGGTATTATATATGGTCGGATTGGTTACACAAAACAATACAAAATATTTAGTGGTTAGTGGTATGTGAAAAGTTAAAAACAGTAAAAATAGCGAATAAAATCAATACAAAAAGCTAAAACTATTTTTTTGTATCCTTTTTGGTATTGTATATGTGAATGATAACAATGAAAGCTGTAAGAGATTATCAATCATACTCAAAATATTGCCACTTGTTGATCTCTTGATGTAGTGGTTGAATTCTAACTAGTTTAATTTATCGACGGAAATACAATTAATAAATATTTTTAAATAGTTTAAAATTTATTCAAATTTTTTTTAACAAAGTACTCCCTCTGTCCCAATATACAAGATATTTTACACCTTTTCATTTGTTCCATTATATAAGATTTTCTCTAATTTCAATGCATGATTTATATTAATTTAATAATTTTTCAGTATTTTAATTATGCAGTATCTTCTTCTATTAGTTGAATTTAAATAAATGAGAAAAAATTTATTGTTTTTTAATCTATATATTTTTAGTCCAAACATCTAATAAAATGGAACAGAATGAGTATTTTAGTATATATACCCGTATTCACTACTTTATCATTGATTATAGAAGAAGAATATATGATCTAAATAAGTATTATGGATTACTCGTTCATACAAAAGTACATATAGATCAGAATTATTTTTAAGGTACCTATACAGATGTCATGATGGGGAAATGACAACAGTTTCAAAGAAGATCTTTTGTATCTGACTTTATACATACTACGGTTTATTTACTTTTATATTGAATGGTTCATTTTAATTAGGAGTTATAGTCAGCTAAAGAATTAAGGTTTCTGTAAAATAAGGTTACTTTAATAAATAATGATTCAGGTTTTTTTTGGTCAGAAATGATTAGGGTTAAGAAATATAATTTTTCCTACTTTGTCAAATCTGTCACTAATATGATCATAGAAAGGAGTATTGGAGATGTTGCATTTGTTTTGTGAAAATGACTTTGGAACTAATGTGAAAGGATAGGATGCGTGCAAAGGTACGCAATCACACGTGCGACTCATACATCTTTTACCCAAATATACTTGTTAAGTTTCAAATAAATATATAGTTTGTATTTTTACCATGAATGCTATAAAGTATAAGCTTATAGATTTATACAAATATCATATCAGTAAAATTAAATAGAAAAGAAAGTTGACCAGCAGTTCTCTCCAAAATCACATCAATAAATTAAAGTAATGTATCAATTTTAACATTAAAAGGATTTTGATAACTATAAGACTAGTGCAATTTTAAATTGTTAGTCACTTAAATTTGTCACCAAAACTGTTGATAAATCACCGACTCTAAAACGAACAAACAATAGTTGTTGTCACTATCGCTATCTATTGTGATATAAACACGAATAAAAATCATGATCCAGTCTTCACAAAACCGATTTTACATAGATTAGTCAGAATTTGTCCAATATTCTTTTTTTTTTCAAAATCTCAAATAATCGGCTTGGTCCGGTTTAAAATGTATGGCAAATTAGTTTGAGATCTTCAGTCCATACTCCATTGCGAATTTGCGATAAACCATTTTTTTGGCAACCGTAACAAACCTAATAAGTATATACGTGTCTCTATTTTTGGTAAGATTTTTTTTTACATAACATAGAAGAAACTTAAAAGCTTCAATAATGAATTGCCGCAAAAAAATTGTTGTCGCCGATACGAAAATTAAGTATAGACGAATATCCATTTGACACATAGGTGTACACGTAAAGACCACTGTATCAATATATTTTTGATGATTCTAATCTTTGCGACTTGTGGGTGACTTGCAATTTTGGTTCATGGTTTGGTTACAAACTAGTCTATCTTTCAATATTAATTTAAAATTCTTCGTCTTATCATAGTATAGTATATACATTTTTTTCAGAATGTGATTTTGTGACACGATCAGTTCTTTGTTTAATCGGATCAGGAATGTTTCAAAAATCTTCCATGAAAGAATGTATGCTAAGATATGATATTAATGCTGGTAATTGTTATTATATATATATATATATATATATATATATATATATATTTGGTAAAATTGGAATTAATTACGGATTTTGTCCTTTTTATAATGACATTTGTGGATTTTGTACTTTTTGAATAGTTTATGGATTTTGCTCCTTTTCATGTTCCAAAAATATGATTTCACATACGTTCCACTCGTTATGTTTGGGTTTAGTCGGTTCCATTTGTTCTTAGGGTTTAGTATTTGATATAAAGTACGTATTTTTACCAAAAAATCATAAATACGTATACTTTCAAGTGTTAAAAAAGGGAAAATCCGTAAACTATTAAAAAAATGATATTTTTATAAGTTTTTTTTTTTAAATGGCATTTTAGGTAATAATCCCGTAAAATTGTTATTGTAAATATTGATATCCTAAATGATGAAATAGGCGGATATAGTAGCGAGAAAGTCTTTAGCATACCGAAATAAGGGATGTGACCAGATTCTAAATATGTACACATTTTTAGGTTTTGGGAGTTTATATGTTACATTTTAAAACTCAATTCGGGACATTCAAGAGAAATGCCATTTTTTAAAAAGAAAGTTTGTTGACTTTCATTCGAATGGATTCGGATAATCAAAATGGATATTTTACACTATTATTTCTTTTAAAACCTCTCTATGTTCATATGGTATGGAATCAGAAGTTTTGTTTTTCTGCTCAATGATGAATTTCGGTTCAACGAAATTAGTTTGTAATTAATGCTTTAGCATTATTTTTCTTGATTCCGATTTCTTTGACTTGTGTTTTAGTACTACTACTCTACTGCTCAAAATAAAACAATATTTTTTCTAATTACGATTTGTCCACCCCAAATATATATGTTCCCACTTCTTGGCCACGAAAATTTTCCTGGCCCCAGACACAATGTGATTCTTTGTCTCTTGTCTTCTTTGTTAATCATGGCGCTAGAAAAAATGTAACACACACAAGTCGCAAGTGTATGTTTGCGTGTGATTAAGACTAATCCATAAGGCCATAAGACAGAGAAAATAAGATAAAATAGGAGAAAATATTTCACAGAGTATTTAATGTGATAACAAAAATATTCTAAACAAGATTAAAACAAATTGGACTATGGGAGGTCGTCCTCCCCTCATCTACATAAAAAAGATCTCGAAATGAGAATATATATTGTATTAAATGTCTAAAACTCAATAAACACAATTATAAAAATCTAAAACTCAATAAACACAATTATAAAAGTGACATTTCAACACCTTAGGAATCGAGACTTCCGCTCTAAACCCCACCACTTTCTTCTATTTCTCTACAACTCTCATTTGCTAATTATTGATTAATTAAGATTCAAGACTCTAAATCATCGCTTGTTCCCTTAATCAAAAGTATAAATCAACGTCTTGCTTTAATCCCATTTTCAAGTCACCACTTACGTAACTTACGAGTAATGCCATCGTCATTATACTATGCATGCATATATATAATAAATTCGTCTGGCCGTCTGGGTATGTATGTACGGAACTGTAAATATAAAGATATGGCACTATTGTTAGTCAAGTCACTTTTGTTCCCTTTATGTAGACTACTTATTTATTTAAATACTACTCCCCTTTTTTTATAACTTTTGTTCCCTTTTTTTATAGATGATATTTTAGGAAAATACACACAAATTTAAAAATTATTTAATTTTTATTTATTTTTAAATAAAAATATCATTTATTATCTAATCAACCAATAAAAAAATAATCTACATAATATAAATCATCAAAACTACTAAAAAAACTAATTAATATTACATTAAAAATAAAAAACATCATCTATTTTAGAACAAAAATATAAGCTTAAAAGATCATTTATAAAAGAACAGAGGTAATAACTAACTAAAACCCTAATATTTACATCTTCTGTAATTATTCTTAAGAAATGTTATAATCTTTATCTGTTTAACATAATTATCTATTGTTCATATTCACATAAAAACTATATTTGTTTTTTTTAGCTATGTTACATGTTATAGAAAGTGTTAATATTGGTAACAGTCGTACATATTATATCCTTTGTCACTACATAGTTTGCAATTTGCATAAGATGTTGCATGCTCAAAAAGTCAAAATATTAGTCTAGTTTTGTGTTTAGAAAAATCGGTTATAAACCAAAATAAAATTAAAAATCCGGTTATAAATTAAACAACACATATACTATAGATTTGTTATAATGATATTTTTAAATCATAATTCAAATATACTTTTGTACTTAATTAATTGGCTGTATAAACGTTGAAACGAATAGCAAGTAATTAACTATTTTTAGATATTTGAAATAAAACATTGATGAGAATTTTTTTTAGTTATTACTGTTACAGTATTACTTAGATACTATTTGAGTATTTGAATCGAAATGATTTAAATATCTAACCGGACCTACTCAAGAAAATGTTTTCCAATGGGTTTGGCCTTTCTCGCTGGGCGAGCGCATCCGATTCAAAAGTCCTTTCCTAAACCACTTCCCGTTCAGTTGCTGAAAAATAAATGGGGATCTTCTTGTTGGGTCTTGTACGTACCGCGATGATCAAATGTTTTAGGGCCGAATTTATGAAATTATATTTAGGCCCATAATAGTTTCACTTAGTGCAATCAAGCCCACACCCGTGTTGATCAACGACATTTGAACCATCGTCGCTGCTTTTGACTTAAACAATTAACAACAAAAAATAGTGGTTTTGGACATTTGAACCAACCATCGTCGCTGCTTCGCCAATCAAGTTCCATTTTTCTTCACTAACTTGAATTTTATTTTTCTTCACTAACTTGAATTTTATTTTTCTTCAGGTTTTTTTTTTCAATTTGAAAATTCTCGGATTGTTTGATGTTTAATGTAAGATCCAATGGTTATAGCTTTCTAGTAAGAGCTATTAGGACATAATGTTCCACATCGGAAGTTGAAAGGGATCCTAAGTAATATATAAGGGATATATGCCTCTCCACTCATTGCCAATTGGTTTTGAGTTGGAAGCTCATATTCTAATATGGTAGCAGAGCCCGATCCACACATGTCCAACCCGATCCGACCCAAAGATGGTCTAATCATCGACAAGGCCCAAAATTGATGCCGTCGATCTAAGCCCGAACATTCCGAGATTAATGGCCAAAGAGCCATCATCTCGAGGGGGCGTATTAGGACATAATGTCCCACATCGGAAGTTGGAAGAGATCCTAAGTAATATATAAGGGATATGGACCTCTCCACTCATTGCCAATTGGTTTTGAGTTGGAAGTCCATATTCTAATAAGAGCATGATTATCAAGGGTCTCTTAATATTGGCTCTTAAGAGTATTTAATTATTAAATTTGTAAAAGTTATAGTTAAGATATTGTATTTTTGTTTTAAGATTTATGTGTCTCCAATGGTAGGCTCTTAACATGTGGTTCTTAGAAGAAAAAAATTAATATAAAAATTAATTTTGTAATTTTAGAAAACTTAATAATTGTTGCAAATTAAAAAATTTAAAACATACATGAGATACAATTTATAAGATACATAACATAAAGCACAAATGTTTTAAACTTGATTTCTAGAAAATTTTGTCTATATATGCTCGACCAAATCCTTCTTCAATTGTTGATGCATAGCTCGATCACGAAGTCGAGTTCTAGTGACCATTACGAAGTTGAATTTTTGGATTAAGTGGCAAAAATGAAATTTGGGATTAAGTAGAAAATATAAAACTTTTTGGATGAAGTAGAAAAGATTTGAATGTTTGGATTAAGTAGAAAAGATCAATTTTCTAATGAGTATAAACGTGTGTGGTATGAGTTTGTGAGAACAAGTGAATAAGTGACAAGAGTCAAAATCTATTAAAAGAGTTTTTGGAATCCCAAACATCATGCAAGAGTTGGGATCAAAGCTCAAAATAAACACAAATAATAGATTTCAACAAAATCAATCCCTACAATGTATCATGAGAAATGCAGAGATGGCATCACGTTCATTCTTATCTTTGACGTCAAGATACGTATCATGAATTCTTCTATCTTTCTTCTCTCAGTAAGTCAACATCGTTGCTTGCTATTTTCTTTTCAAGCAGCCATCCATCAACTGTTAAAAGTAACCGACTCCAATAACCCCAAGGCATATCATTCACCGGTAATTTTTAACACTGTCAAGTTCTGACTTAAGCGACTGAAAAATGATTTACAACAATGATCAAAAGAAGGCCTAATTTCAGAAGTGGAGAGTCACAATATACCACTAATACAAATGAAACCCATACCAAAGCTTTTACAACCTCAGGCACAGTTATATTACTTAAATTCTGCCCATCATTATGCCCAATATCAACCGTGGCATGAACATTCTCCTCCTTCTTCTTTGCAGGTTTATTTTTGCGCCGAGTTAAGAATGGCCGCCTTTTCCTGGAGTGTTCAGCTTTCTTTGTTTCCCCAAGTACTAGTTTCTTTTCTTCTAAAGCTCCCTGTCTCCACAACAAACATTTAAACTAGTGTATACACAAATTTTGATCTTAGCACTAGTGCTAGTAGGAACAAAAATATACCAGGGATTGAACAATTTGTGACGAACGTTTGCATTTTCTTGGACAGTTTGCACAAGGTCAAACTTTGCTTTGGAAATCTGTAGAGAGAAATACACATGTCATGAGCAGAAAACGTCTCCCAAATTCAAGCATATGCAGATCACCTAGTTGACAAACGGGATTTGTTTCTTCACCAACTCGATCAAGGTAACTTCATAATAAATTATATCACATAATCCAATTTAGTTTCATGAAGGAGCTTGACACCATATCATGTGGTTCCTTACCTCGTTATCCATCTGCTCATTATTTAGTGCCAAATTCAGTTCTTCAATGTTTACTTCTACCTCTTGGAAAAAAGGTTAATCCCTTGTAAATTGCAAAGGCTTCATCAAATTCTCCAATCTCTGCATTCAACTGCATGTATAGCTTTTAGAAAAAAGAGCACTTGATTCAAAGCTGCAAAATTTACAATGAAATTGAAAAAGATAACGATTTCCAGATTCAATTGAGAAAGACGAAGAATTGAGGAAAAAGTCGTCGGAGTAAGGATTACCTGAGAAGCGAATTGGATTGAGAAGAGCCGCCATCCGTTGAGATGATGAAGATGCCATCCTCCGATCACCAACTTAAACAATCAACGGAGGAGACGAAGATTTGAGACTGAGAAGATTTCTCTTTGGTTTCTCAGTCACAGAGAAAAGAGAGAGAGAGAAAAACGCGAAACAATTTTTTTCCTTCCTCGGGTTTTACCAAGCCCCATTCTGTGAACGATACTTGTCCGTCTCTTAGGTGAATAAACATTTCTTAACTAAGGAACGTTTTTTAAGTTTAACTCTCATTTTCCATTTAATTTTAATTATATAATCTCTAAGATTTATGTTAAGGAACTACCGTTAGTGGAAGCCCCCTTGCCCCATTGGTTGACTAAGGGTTGATTAATGCTTCTACACCAAGAGGTCTGGGGTTCGAGTCCCAGATATTGCGATTTATTAACAAATTTGCAGATTAATGAAGGCAAATGTGCAGGGGATCTCCAGCGATGTACAATTATAGCCGTTCGCCAGGATTCTACGCAGAGAAGGAAGTGTCGCCAGGTCGTGGATCATTGAAGGTATTCATCAAGATCATAAAGAAGGAAGTGTAGTCTATCGTAGATCTAGTAAGGGTCGGAAGGAATTGTCAGTTGTAGAATCGTCTATATAACAGTTCTCATAATTTGCAATTAATAATAAATCTAAACGACAAAAAAAAAACTACCGTTAATGATGCTCTAACCGTCATACACTAAGTTAATAGATATATACAAAAGAAAGACTTTAAATAGGAGAAGAATAAGTAATGAATGATCAGAATATGTCCACGAAAGCTTTGTGTTCTTGGTCTCACTCTCATAATCGTGTTAAGGTCTCACGCACGTAACTTTCACAAGAGTAATTACACCACTCCAACGATTTGAAAAGTCTTTAAAGAAATATCAAAGTGGCACTTTCGTAATTATGTAGATTTCACAATTTGGCTTTAGCTTTACCTAACCAAAATGCCATGGCATTATGAGAGCTCGTAAATAGCCTTTTAGCCTTTTCAGCATTTTTGTTAACTCATGCATTCAATCTTAAACACTCACATCTACCTAACTACACTATTTCAAGTAAAACACAACCAAGCCGATCTCTAATAAAAACTAAGCAAGTTTTAATGAAACGCGAATTTTGCAAAAACTCGAACCTAACAAAACCAAATTCGAACCATACTAACTGAAATATCGACCCCTAATTAATTCTGCTTTTTGTCCAAAAAAAAAATAAATTAATTCTGCTAAAGTTGGCTGCATAATGGTGTTTTGTAGTTCTTGTATTAGAAAATTAGAATCAGTTGCTTTTGTAATTTAAAATAGTTGTTATGTTGGAATGAAATTGAGCTAGATCCGGTAGATTATAGCCGCCGGTCTTCACAAGTAACAACCGACATAAGAAAATAAATATTTGGACAAAAGAGTTGCAAATATTGAAGTCTTGTTTTTTTTTCTTTTAACGTACTTAAAAATTACCTAAAGTAAACGTATAAAATCAGCACATGCAATAAAATAAGTCAAATTCAACGTATTACGACTACTGTTGATTAAAATGGATAATAAGGTTTTGAATATCGACAAGTGGAGTGATGTGTTAGTACACTTTTTTTTCGCGGCTGCGTTAGATTCATGGTCCATCACTTACTTCTGAATTTATTTTGTCTCATTTCCTCTCTTTTAATAATTGAATGAGATTTCAACACTGGTGGCGACTTGGTCAAGATTGGCGTTGTATTTTTACATGTTTTATTATATTATTTTTTTGTCCAATAATGTTATCACATATTTATGTTAGTATATGGTACTAGTACAAAATAAGAGATATAGTTTTAAACAAATCCTTCATTACGACGCTCTACTATCATTTGTCTTTAGCTTATGAACTTCAAATTTTTTTTTTTTTTTTGTGATTTAGAAGATAAAATGTCACCTGTTTTTACTCAAATATCTCATTTATGTAATAAAATGATTACTCTTGCTATTTTTTCTGCATGTCTTTGTAACTACTACCACTTTCAACGCCGTCTCAAAACTTTCACTAGTTTTTGTTTTGGATATGAAGGAACCTGAGAAATTTCATATAAGTTGATCTTATAATATAATAAAAATAATAAAATAGTGTAATAATTCTCCCTGAGCCTACAATATATATGTCCACACTCCCTTTGTTCTATCTTCACCACCACACAACACAAAACCTCCAAACCAATAAACAGAACAAAGTGAGATCTTTCTCTCTGAAGACAAAGATGGAAACGGTGTCGGCTAACTTCTCTCTCTCGCAGATCCTCAACACGGAGGAACCGTATAGCTCCGTGATGCTCGGTGTCGCCGCTCTCTTGGCCGTTGTTTGCTACTTCTGGATACAGGGGAAGTCCAAATCCAAGAACGGACCACCGTTGCCTCCGGGACCTTGGCCACTTCCCATCGTCGGAAACCTCCCGTTCCTAAACTCTGAGATCCTCCACACGCAGTTCCAAGCCCTAACCCTAAAACATGGCCCTCTTATGAAGATCCACCTCGGTTCCAAACTCGCGATCGTCGTCTCTTCCCCGGATATGGCTCGCGAGGTTCTCAAAACCCACGACATCACTTTCGCCAACCACGATCTTCCCGAAGTTGGAAAGATCAACACTTACGGTGGAGAAGATATCCTCTGGTCTCCTTACGGCACCCATTGGAGGAGACTCCGTAAGCTCTGCGTCATGAAGATGTTCACTACGCCCACACTCGAAGCTTCTTACTCCACTCGCCGCGAGGAAACCAGACAAACCGTTGTCTACATGTCCGAAATGGCTCGTGACGGATCACCAGTCAACCTCGGAGAACAAATCTTTCTTTCCATTTTCAACGTCGTGACAAGAATGATGTGGGGCGCGACTGTTGAAGGAGACGAGAGAACAAGCCTAGGAAACGAGCTTAAAACCCTAATCTCCGATATCTCCGACATCGAAGGGATACAAAACTACTCAGATTTCTTTCCTTTGTTCTCAAGATTCGATTTCCAGGGATTGGTTAAGCAGATGAAAGGCCATGTGAAGAAGCTTGATCTCTTGTTCGATAGAGTAATGGAGAGTCATGTCAAGATGGTGGGAAAGAAGAGCGAAGAAGAAGAAGATTTCTTACAATACTTGCTTAGAGTTAAAGATGATGATGAGAAAGCTCCTCTGTCCATGACTCATGTCAAGTCTCTCCTCATGGATATGGTTCTTGGTGGTGTTGACACATCGGTTAACGCATCCGAATTCGCCATGGCGGAGATCGTAAGCAGACCGGAAGTGTTAAATAAGATCCGACAAGAACTTGACCAAGTTGTTGGGGAAGACAACATCGTTGAAGAATCACATTTACCTAAGCTTCCTTATCTACAAGCGGTTATGAAAGAGACTCTTAGACTTCACCCTACGCTTCCTCTTCTTGTGCCTCACAGAAACAGCGAAACCTCGGTGGTTGCGGGATACACTGTGCCTAAAGATTCCAAGATTTTCATCAACGTTTGGGCGATTCATAGAGATCCTAAGCATTGGGATGAACCAAACGAGTTTAAACCAGAGAGGTTTCTGGAGAACTCGCTAGATTTCAATGGAGGTGATTTCAAGTACTTGCCTTTTGGATCAGGAAGGAGGATTTGTGCGGCGATTAACATGGCTGAGAGACTTGTTCTGTTCAACATTGCTTCACTTCTTCACTCTTTTGATTGGAAAGCTCCTCAAGGACAGAAGTTTGAGGTTGAAGAGAAGTTTGGTCTTGTTCTTAAGTTGAAGTCTCCACTTGTGGCTATTCCTGTTCCAAGGTTGTCTGATCCAAAACTCTACACAGCTTAAGTAAGGATGAAGGAAAGTTTGGTTTGAGCCTTTGAGGAAGTTGAATTGATTTTTCTTGTTTGTAGTTTACTTTTCTTTATGTTGTGGTTGGAGTTTTGATGTTTTGTAAAAGGGGATGTGTGTCTGTCGAGTCACATTTCTGATTATATTTAAATATAATAAAGTTTTATTTCCAATAATAATGCCTTATTTTGGTATCCAAATAGTCGATGCCATATCCTACAGAATGGTACTCTAGTTACAATTTTGGTAGTTCGATTCAAATTCTTGGGTCAAAAAATTATGCATATATATAACTATAAAAATTTTGGATGGTTTAACACTCGTTTGAATTAAAAAGAAATTGGAAGGAGATGCATCGATTGAAAACCATTGGATACAACCATTCGCCCAACTGATGCAACAGATGAATCATTACAATCCATACCATGTTAATAAATGAAACTCAGTGGTAGCATTTGTATCCACTGTAACAAAAGATACACTAATTAATTAAAACAATACATATTATAAAATTTACTGTGAATATTTGATATATATATCAATTAAGTAGAATGAATCACCACAAACTATTGATTGTTGATATAAATCACACTTAAAAACATGTTAAATGATATAAAACATAATCATTGGATAAGATATAGAAAAGAAACTCTTAACCCGATATCAAAAGATTTATAATTAAAATAAATAAAAAAATTTACTAAAATAAATATCTAAAGTTTGGTTTAGCAATATATATAAAGTTTACAAACTATATTATTATTTATTTAATTAAACTTTATATATATTATTAGCAATATATATAAAGTTTGGTTTAGCAATATATATAAAGTTTTATGAAATCTCGATTTCTGTTGTTTGTATTTAAACACGCTTCCATTGATCGATATGTAACTAAAATTGCATTTATTTTTGTTGTTCCTCTAATAAAATTAAAAAGATAAATGATCAAATCTGTGTGCAATAGAAAAACTAATAAAATACAAATATCTTATTTGAAACTAATTAAAATTAAAGTACAATACGTTAGTAGGAAATAAAACTTGACATAATTAATGTATGACAATTTGAAAAAAAATTTTAATTCACCATAAAAGATGATATTATCTTGCCAAAATAGATGTATCGCCCATAGTCAAACAATTACTCTTATCTATCTACAAATAAATAAGTCAAACTTTCGATATTTATTGGACATTGTTATCTTACCTAAAATCAGTGATAGAAAACTTTGAATCATGTTTTAAGACATGACTATAAAACTACGATTACTTTCGTCATTATAGACATCTCTCACATTAACTCCATTTTCATTTCTTTATGATATAGACTCTTTTACATTTTAATCAAGGTATGCTACGATTTCAGTTTATCTACTTCTTATTTATATAATTTCACGTGTATTTTTTGTGATCTCCGTATACCTACTAATTAAAATGAAGTTTTTAATCTATCATTAATTGATAATAGTTTTTCACATATATTTTATATATATATAAAATAAATTATATATATATATATATATTTTAATCTATCATTAATTGATAATAGTTTTATATATGTATCACTCACGTTTTATTACACCATGTTATATACAATACATTTCTACATAAAAATAAATGATTTTACGTAGATTTGACTATGAAATCTTTCCCGAGAATTTTTTTTTGTATGGTCTTGTTTATGATTTATAATTTAAATATGTACAATTATATATATATATATATATATTAAAGATTTTTAATATTTTGTTAATATATATCAAATGTGCATATATTTAAAATTTTATTGATGATTTTATTCTCATACAATTTTTTTAATTTAGAAGTTAAAGGAGAAAACAAAACAAGAAGAATGGCTTCCAAACGTTGTGCTGTCTGCAAGATCTTGAAAGAAACTTGTGCTCCAGGGTGCATCTCCGCACCACATTTTCCATCGGACGATACGAGATTCGATGATGTTCATCAAGTTTTTGGAGCCGTGAACGTCCGCAACATCCTCAATAATCTTGAATCCCCAGAACAGCGTGCGATTGCTGCCAACTGTTTGCGTTATGCGGCTGAAGCTCGTAGACGTGACCCTATTTCTGGTTGTCATGGCATGATCTTACACTACAAGAATATTCTCAATAATGTTGAACAAGATATTAAATCTGCAATGAATGAGCTCGAAACCTATGTGGGACACGATCAAGTGCCAAAATTTTATGATCTTCCAATGCCAGATGATTTCCTCATTACACCAGGCTCTTCAGATTCCTTTATTGAAAAAATAAAGAGTCTAAACGATGTTCAAAAGAATCAACTTATGCAACTCCAAACAGCTGCTGATGTGCAAATGATAATGAGTAACATATTTTGGAAGAGAGAAGATCAAAAGATGGATGATGGTCATGGTCATGGAGCTGATGGCGCATCAACATCTGCTAGTCAGTGATACTCAAGAGTTCCTCCAATACCTAAAAACCAGATATCTCCGTTACCTAAAAATCAAAGCCAACAATAATTTTAATAATGTATTTTGTGTGTGTTTTCCTTCTAATTCTAGTCTCATAATAACTTTGTGTCTTTTCCTTTATTTATTACCATTTTGTCATAAATCTATGTAGTTCTTTTAATGGATATATGTGTTGTTTGATCTATTCTCATATAATGTTTTATTTTATTTGGATTAGACATCAATAACCAAAAATACATATAAAAATCGTTTTAATCGATCCAAACCTAGATTTGTTCTTTGATAATAATAGAAAAATAATTGTTTTAAGAAAAAAACATGTGAATAAGTCTTAAATGAGTAAGGTTAGATTTGTATAGATACTTATATTACAAATACAAATATGTGATCTATAAAATTGGTAATCTGTATAAAATTTATCAAGTATAGATGTACAAACTAGTAATTCTTAATTTGTTCAGTAATCAGTGAATTAATTCTATTTTATTGTGGATAATTATATTAATTAGTATATATATTTATATCACAAATACAAATACGTAATTTATAATATCAATAATATCCTATAAAAGGTCATCGAGTAGAGATGTCAATATACAAACTATGATTTTTTAATTAGTTCGCCATTCAATGAGTTCACTCTATTTATCAAGGATGGTCATATTAATTAATATATATTAAAAATAAATTATTCCAGATTAAAATTTAGACAAAAATAAAAATTAATAATTTAAAATAAAGGTAATAAACAATAAACAAATCCTTCGACGAAATTTTCTTTCATGGAAATCCCTATTAAATTCTTATGGTATTTTCAACTCCAAACCAACTTTAAACGTCTAGTTTAGGGCTGGGCATTCGGGTATCCGTTCGGGTTCGGTTCTTTTTTTTCGGGTATCGGGTCTATTCGGGTAGGGGGTCGAGACCCATTCGGTTATTATAAATTATCGGTTCGGGTTCGGTTCGGTTCTAATTGGGTTCGGGTCGGGTCCTCTATTAAATTTAAGAACCGTTGAATACCCGAAAAGTTTCGATTATTTTCGGGTTCGGGTATAATTCGGGTAATTAGTAACCAAAAATAACCAAAAGTAACCAAAAATAACCAAACATACAAAACCTGATTATACTTATGCAAAAATAACTCAATTTGTCTAAATTATGAAACCAAAGACAGACATATAGATAAACTGATGCATTGTCTAAATTGAAACCAAACAAAAAGCAAACATAAGCTGATTAATTGTCTAAATTCAAAAGAGAACAAAACACAAACATTTCAATTGTTGTTAAAGTTACCAGAAACATACAACTACAGTCTACAAGCATCAGAAAGACATCATGTTCCTGTTACATTGAAAAGAAGATTCATCAATACCAAAAACAGTTCAGACAGAGAAAAAACAGTTTAGATTATTACCCAAAAGCCGAGTATGAGTCTTGTAGAGCTACTCGTTTACTCCTAATGCTCCAAACTCTGAAAATCATTTAGAGAACACAATTTCAGTAGGTAAAAGCATACAATGCTACAAGTATAATTGAGAAATAAAGTAAAACCAACCTTTCTCCAGCTCATCTTGTGTCACAAAGTCAGCATATATATAAGACAGAGTCATAGCAGCTTGCTCCTTTAACTTCATCTCTGACTTCATCCATTGGTCTGTGCACATCAAAACCTCAATGGTGTAATGACTAAGACAACTCCTACTTGGTTCCAGCATGCGTCCACTTGTACTAAAGGCAGATTCTGATGCGACTGATGACACTTGCATAGCAAAAACATCTCTTGCTATTTCTGATAATATAGGGAACTTACCAGAATTGCGCCTCCACCAATCCATGACATCATACTCATCACCAAACATATTACTCTTTGGATGCTCAGCCTTTTCTTTCAAATACATGTCTAATTCGTCATGTGCATCATGAACTCCTAACTCATCAACCATCTCATCATAAACACACTGCATTCTTTCAAATCCACCACCAAGAGAAGCATCTGTATTTTCTAACTCCTCTTCAGCATATCCAGTAGCTTGTTCATGGCTAGCACTAGCAGAATTGCTCCCAACAGTATTAGACGATGATGCATCAGTAGAGACTTTGGGAAACATGCTACTATACTCCTTAAAAAGACTAGTCAACACAGAATATGTAGAATCATACATCTCTTTAGAATCTACACTATATTTCCCATAGACCTTATCAAAGCAAAGCTGAGCAAATTGCATTTTCTTTGTCGGATCAAAGACAGTAGCCACAATCAAAAGCTTATTGATGTTTTTAAAACCCTCCCAATACTTATCAAACTTCTCTTTCATGTCCTTAGCCCTAGTCCTCATTTCCGGATCATTGCTCTGACTCAATAGTATCATATTCTTCTCTATTGTAACTATCTCTCCATAACACTTGTATGAGTTAACCGATGTAGAAGCAGAGACAATTAAAGTAGCAGTATAAAAGAAGTTCAGAAACTTTACCATTCTCTCTATCTCCACCCAATCCAAATAAGTAGGAGGACCAACCCTTTTCTTGCCTTTTTCCATCTCTAAGAAGTAGTTGTTGTAGATCTTATCTTCAGCTTCCATCCGATCAAAAGCTTCTCTGAATCTTTGCGCTTTTATGAGCATCAAATAGGTTGAATTCCACCTGGTTTCGACATCTAGAGGCAAGCTTCCTCTACTCAGATTAGATGCATCAACCCTTTGATCAAATGAGATCAATCTCTTTGTAGAAGATCTCACAAAAGTCACTGCATTCCGAACTGCTTCCACATGGGAATTGATCTCATGCAATCCATCTTTGACTATCAAATTGATGATGTGAGCTGAACACCTCATATGCATCATCTCAGCATCTAATATGAATGCATTATTCCCATTCTTTGCCCTGAAGGCTCTTTCAAATTTCTGAAGTGCAGAAGTATTGGCTGTTGCATTATCAACAGTGATAGTGAAGATCTTCTCTATACCCCATTCATCCAAGAAAGAACTCAAAACAGCTGCAATTGTTGCCCCTTTATGATCTGCCACATACTTAAACTCTATGATCAGCTTTCTTAAATGCCAATTTGTATCAACAAAATGGCAAGTTATTACCATATAACTTGCACCAGTTACGTGAGCTGTCCATATATCAGTAGTGAGAGAGACCCGCTGCTTAGTTGCACGCATCCATTTCCTCATTTCTTCTTTCCGCTTCACAAACATCTCATAGATGTCTCTTGTTGCAGTTCTTCTAGAAACTGGCTTGTACAAGTTGCATTTGGTAGTGAAATGTCTCCAAGCTATACTTTCAATGAATGAAAGTGGCATCTGTCCTAATACAAGTATTTCATTTGTTGCTTCTCTAACCACTTCAATTGAAACCTTACCAGCCATTAGATGACTACCATCTGGATTCAGAATCTTCTGCATTTCACTGTCTTGCCAAACTTTGAATTGCTTGCACGCAAAAGTCAGATGCTTCTGCAGATTTGAAGTCCATGATGTTGTAGGACAGGCGAGTGTCTTCCCACAATAGTGACATGAGCATTTGTTAATATTATCCTTCAATCTGGTAAAATGCTCCCACACATACGACCTTTCTCTTTCTTCTTTGCTCTTTGCTTTGCCCTTACCCTTAGAACTTTTTCCTGAAGCTTCTTTTGATTCTTTTCTTTTCTTTCGATTCTCAGGAATCCTCGAATCATCTTCTGTATCTTGAGTTTCAGCATTCGTATCCAAATCAACATCTTCTTCTGGAAGTGATGATGAACCCATCTAATAAGAAGAGTCAAAACGAAAATAAAAATCAAATCGAGCAGTAGAGAGTAAATTGAAAACGAAATACAGTAATCAACAATTGAAAACGAAATACATAATCAACAAAACCCTAAAACACTAAAATCATCAAAAAACACAATCGAGAAGTAGAGAGTAGAGAGTAGAGAGTTAGAGATTATCTAATCGACAAAACCCTAATCAAACAACAATCAAATAGAGAAGAACAGACGAATCGGAGGAGAGAAGACTTACGGCGGATCGATTTCTCGATGAAGATTCCAGATTGAATATCGATTAGCGACTTAGGTTTTTTTAAGAGAAGAGGACTTAGGTATTTGTCGGGAAAGGGGAAGAACCGATGGTATAGGTTAATATCTGGGGTGTAATTAGAGTAGATTAGTTATAATCGGGTATTAATTTCGGGTCAAGAAAGTAACCATTCGGTTCTCGGTTTTTACCCGAACCGAAGACAGACCCGAATTATTTCTATATGGAGAACCGATCGGTTATAACTGAATCCAAATACCCGAACCGAATTGCAAAATTTCGGTTCGGTTCGGTTCGGGTATTCGGTTCCGGTTATTATGCCCAGGACTACTCTAGTTGTCATCTCTTTGACCGCTTTTTGGGTAAGAAAAAATTCATATGGTATTTAGAACTTATGTTTCTTGGGTTACTCATGTCTATGTTTCACTGTACACACGAGTTTGGAGAATACAAACGTCGTGGTTTTCTTTACACCATAAAATATGCGTTAATGGGCTTGGCCCATTTATATAAAACTAATAATTGAGACGACTTTTGATTTGTTTCTCATAAGGCGACGCCGTATTACAGCCTAGAAACTCAAACGTCGTCGTTTCTCTTCCCGGCGACTTTATCACCGCCGTCTTCTTCTTCTCATGCTCTTTGGCTAATTTCGTTTTGCTTTGAGCTTGTGAGCTACTTCTGATTCCGACCATCACGCAGCTTCAAGGTTAGTTTTTGATTTAATTCAAACAAAACTACATGGGTTCAATGTGTTGTGTCTCCAATGGAATTGGTTTCTGGGTTTAGATTGATAAATTTTCTAGGGTTTATGGCTCTTTTATCAGAAACGTAACTTAGGTTATACGAATCTCTTGTTGGGTCTCTTTCAATACCAATACCAATCCACGAAAGGATTCATTTTGTTCACTATCTTCGACGTCTAAGTTGTGATTAGTGTTAGTTCGAATTGATTCAGAGTAAAGTTTGGGTTTTTACTTCACCTAGTCCTGAATTTGTTGTTCTCTGTGTAGAAAGTTTCTGTTTTTAAATCAAAGAAATGAAGAAGAAGATGATAGCCATTGGTTTCGAGGGTTCAGCTAACAAGATTGGTGTTGGAATTGTTACATTAGACGGTACAATCTTAGCGAATCCTCGGCATACGTATATAACACCGCCTGGTCACGGTTTTCTTCCTAGAGAGACTGCACATCACCATCTTGACCATGTTCTTCCTTTAGTCAAATCAGCTTTAGAGACTTCTCAAGTTACTCCTGAAGAAATCGACTGCCTTTGTTATACGAAAGGTCCTGGGATGGGAGCGCCATTGCAGGTTTCAGCTATTGTTGTTAGGGTATTGTCGCAGCTTTGGAAAAAGCCGATTGTTGCTGTGAATCATTGTGTGGCTCACATTGAGATGGGGAGAGTAGTTACTGGTGCTGATGATCCTGTTGTATTGTATGTGAGTGGTGGGAACACTCAGGTGATTGCTTATAGTGAAGGTAGATACCGGATTTTCGGTGAGACTATTGATATTGCTGTTGGTAATTGTTTGGATCGGTTTGCTAGAGTGTTGAAGCTTTCTAATGATCCAAGCCCTGGTTATAACATTGAACAGGTAAATTTCATTTGAAAGTAAAGTAAATTTGAATTCTTAAAAGATTCAAGAACAATGTTAACACGGTTTTTGGTGTTTTTATTAGCTTGCTAAGAAAGGAGAAAACTTTATTGATCTTCCGTATGCTGTTAAAGGTATGGATGTATCGTTCAGTGGAATCTTGAGTTATATAGAAACTACCGCGGAGGAGAAGCTCAAGAATAACGAGTGCACACCAGCAGACTTGTGTTATTCCCTTCAAGTAAGGCTATCACTTGGTTCTTAATTGATGAATATTTTGTCAAATTTTGGACTGTTAAGAGAAGTATCATGAATTCATGTTTGTTAATCTTGCAGGAGACGGTGTTTGCAATGTTGGTTGAGATCACGGAAAGAGCGATGGCGCATTGTGACAAGAAAGACGTTTTGATTGTTGGCGGTGTTGGTTGTAATGAGCGATTACAGGACATGATGAGGACTATGTGCTCTGAACGTGATGGTAAGTTGTTTGCGACGGATGACCGTTACTGCATCGATAATGGAGCGATGATCGCCTACACGGGTCTACTCGCGTTTGTTAATGGTATTGAAACACCGATCGAAGACTCTACCTTTACACAGCGATTTCGCACAGACGAGGTTCATGCGGTATGGCGAGAGAAAGAAGCTTTGGTACTTGGGGACAAGAACGTTGCTGCTAATTGATTATGTGCCCATTTTTGTTCATTGTTCATCCAATTTGAGATTGAATCTCTCTCTACTCATAATTTTTTTTTGATAAGTAGTTAAGATATTTAAATGTGTTTCATTTGTCAAAATTATATGATTTTTTTCTTTTGATTTGAATAATTTCTTGATGGGTGTAATAAATTTTCAAATTTCAAAGTGAGCTTTGTAAAAGTTCATATTTTTGTGTTACATTTCGATTTTTGTTTTCTTTTTGTTATATTGCTTTAATAGAATATGTAATCTAAAAAGTCGACATTTCTACCGATAATGGTGGAGAGATTAGTGGATTAGTCTTTCCTTAATCATACAAAAACAACTGTGAAAATACTGCACTACTAAAAAGTAAGAACTTTTTTTTTTTTTTTTTTCATCATGTAAGAACTTTTTAATGTATAACGTATGAGATGGTTCAATCAAAATACACTTTTGTGGAAAATATCATTTTTTCATTTGTGTATGTATCATTTTTTTCAATATCGATCAAGTAATTAGAGGAAAGATAAAACATTTTTTTCATTTATATATGTATCATTTTCTCATCATCTAGAACTCACATGCGGCTACAAAAGTTTCGATATCCTTCTAGTGACTAGAGTTCTAGATATATAAACAAACATTCACACATGTAAGCATGTATACTAAATATAAAAATTTCAAAACTTTTAAAAGATATCATCATCATGTAGATTTAAACAAGACGAGCGAAAAAAGAGAGAGTAGAAAATGACAAAAGTTATTTGACAAAGGTCAAAGTAATTAAAAGAAAAGATAAAGTATCTCAAAAGTCTTCCTTCCTCCATCTTCAAATGCCAAAAATAAAAGACGAATGATTGAATATAAATGAAATGAAAGTTCTCTTATTGGTATTCATTCATCTAAAAACCTCGAAGTAATCAAAATCTGAATGATAGCCGTTGATAAGGTTTTATGCTTTCACATTGCACTCGATCGTCGTCAAATTAATAGTCTTCGTTTTCTAGTTTTAACTTTTAACCTGCTTTTAATTACTTCACTAATTTATTTTTGTTATTATTTCCACCAATTTTATTCATTGTGAATTCACTAGTTGTCCACATAAATAAGATTCATTGGTATTAATAGTACATATGATAAAAGTTTGTATAAAATCAAAGAGCATACTATTACCTAAGAATATTTAATTAGATGAATGTTGAAGTCCACATTGGATTCTATTAATAGTCAAACTGTCATGTTCTTAACCCAAGTTAGGTTTACATGTACTAACAGATCACCATTTCTTTAACTAATCTTTATAAGCTCAAATCTTTTATAAGTTTACTTTATTACAATTAATTAGAAGAAAAAAAGAGAGCCAGTGGAATGATTGTCTTCTAAATCTCGTATTATCATTGACTTTATAGACCGTATATATTATTAATCAACTAATCATATTAGAGCATTGTAAGAAATATGGTACTAAGCAAAACATTCTTTACTCAGTACTATACTCATCCAAAAACTTAATCGTTTTAAGAGACTAAATATGGATATGTGTATATTTGTGTTATGTGTATGTGTGTGTTATGTGTATGTGTATGCAGGAGTAGACACGTGCACGTGGCACATGCAGAGAATGCGAAGGTGGAGTGTTGACAAAGAAGAAGAGGATGATCCAAGTTTCGAAATGATTCCAAAAGTTATGAACTATAAGCCAAAGTGCCCAATCGCCAAACATTAACTTAAACTTCACTCGTTAGATCGTTTTCTCACATTAAAGCCGCTCTACACTTTTACCCATTTTACCATATATAACTACGCATAGATGTTAGATATTATAGATTTTATTCATAAACTTAAGTTATGATAAACATAAACTTAAGTTATGACAAAATAGCTAAATGATTTTGCGATTTTGACACTAGTGAAATGTATGTCTATCACTTGAATTCTATCTCATAGTTTTAAAGATGTATCCTTAGGGCAGGTTATCCAAAAAGCATATTTTTGTTTTGAATCGAAATTTGTGATACAGAAATATACCAAAAATGTGTCTAAATCATATACCGATGCAAAGAAAGTGATATAAACCAAGATCTTTAGCAATAGACATAAATAAACAAACACCTAATTCGGACATGTACGGATCGGGCTCTGATACCATATTAGAATATGGGCTTCCAACTCAAAACCAATTGGCAATGAGTGGAGAGGCCCATATATCTTATATACTAATCAAGATCCCTTGTCCTTTCCAATGTGGGATAATATTATCCCTAATAATTCCAACACAAATGTGAACATTAACTGTTAAAAATGACCAAAAAAGTCATCAAGATTTGGCTTTCCTTTTCAAAAGCAGTACACGTCTCTGTCTCACACAGACAGTGTATTCAATGCGTTTGTGTTGTCTTCCCACTTTTCACCAGCTAAGGCTCTGCTTCTTCCTCTTCCTCTTCTCTCCAAAACAAGACAAAATTCTCAAAGAATAACTTTTTTCATTCACGAGAGTGGAAGATTAGAGTTTTCCAAATCCGAGTAAAAGACACAAAATCTCCGGCTTAGATTCTCAAGTTAGGTCCCTTTCCCAAAAGTTTCTATCTTCTCTTCGTCTAACAAAGAGATAGCTCCAAATCCTGAACAAAACAGAGTACTCTCTGCTCTATAAACTTCATTACCTTTATTACTCTGCTCTTTAAAACAGAGTACTCTGCTTTATAGAGATAAATGAGCTAAAGATCAGTAATTTCTATACAGAGAGACAAGACCAATTCAAGAATGGTTTCCTTAAGTGCCACGTTACTTATCCTTCTCTCAATCTTTTTTTCAACTCCGTCCAATGTTCGAGGCAATGCAGAGCTAAAAGCTTTAATGGAGCTCAAATCATCGCTTGACCCTGAAAACAAGCTTCTCCGATCATGGACGTTTAACGGAGATCCATGCGACGGATCTTTCGAAGGAATTGCCTGTAACCAGCATCTAAAAGTTGCAAACATATCGTTACAAGGGAAACGTTTAGCCGGAAAACTGTCTCCGGCGGTTGCAGAGCTCAAATGTTTGTCAGGTCTTTACTTACATTATAATAGTCTCTCTGGAGAGATACCTCAAGAGATCACAAATCTTACTGAATTATCAGATCTTTATCTCAATGTTAATAACTTCTCCGGCGAGATTCCGGCAGATATCGGCTCCATGGATGGCTTGCAAGGTTAGCATCTTACAATGTTTTGATATACCGGTAGATTCCAAACCGGTTTAGATTAACCGGGATTTACTTGGAGCTTGAAACATAGTTGAATTTCCTTAAACCACACTTCACAGATCTTTCATTTGAATGTTTTGTGTTGTCTTTTGTTGCAGTTATGGATCTTTGTTGCAACAGTTTAACAGGGAAGATACCAAAGAACATTGGTACTTTGAAGAAACTAAATGTGTTGTCTCTGCAACACAACCAACTAACCGGAGAGGTTCCTTGGAGTTTAGGAAACTTAAGTATGTTAAGCAGAATTGATTTGAGCTTCAACAATCTGTTAGGTTTAATCCCAAAAACCCTAGCCAACATTCCTCAGTTGGAAACTCTTGACTTGCGCAACAATACTCTCTCTGGCTTTGTACCTTCTGGTGAGTTTCGATTCCTAAAATGTCTTTTTAAAGCTTATCTCTCTGTTTCTTGACTCTGCTTTTTCTTCGATATGTTTCTTGAAAGGTCTCAAGAAGTTGAATGGGAGCTTCCAGTTTGAGAACAATACCGGGTTATGTGGTATGGATTTTCCTTCTTTGAGAGCTTGTTCTGCTTTCGATAATGCGAACATCGAACAATTCAAGCAGCCTCCTGGTGAAATAGACACTGATAAATCAGCTCTTCACAACATTTCCGAGTCTGTATATCTCCAAAAGCATTGCAACAAAACACAATGCAAGAAATCCTCATCGAAACTCCCACAAGTTGCGTTGATTTCAAGCGTGATTACCGTGACTATAACACTGCTTGGTGCCGGCATATTGACCTTCTTTCGCTACAGAAGACGGAAGCAAAAGATTAGTAACACACCTGAGTTTTCCGAGGGAAGACTGAGCACAGATCTACAAAAAGATTTCCGCGCATCGCCTCTCGTGAGTCTTGCCTACACTAAAGAATGGGATCCGCTCGGCGATAGCAGAAACGGAGCTGAGTTCTCACAAGAGCCTCATCTCTTTGTTGTTAATAGTAGCTTCAGGTTTAACTTAGAAGACATTGAATCAGCAACGCAATGCTTCTCAGAAGCTAACTTACTAAGCCGAAACAGCTTCACCTCGGTGTTCAAAGGAGTCCTTAGAGATGGTTCTCCGGTAGCTATCAGAAGCATCAACATAAGCAGTTGCAAGAACGAAGAAGTCGAATTCATGAACGGTTTAAAGCTTTTATCTTCGCTGTCACATGAAAACTTAATGAAGCTACGCGGATTCTGCTGTTCTAGAGGCAGAGGAGAGTGTTTCCTCATCTATGATTTTGCTTCAAAAGGAAAGCTCTCGAATTTTCTTGATATACAAGAACATGAAACGAATCAGGTTCTTGATTGGCCCGCAAGAATCTCCATCATCAAAGGGATTGCAAAAGGTTAAGTCTTTAAGAAATCACTTCTTCGAGTTGCAACAAAATGTATCTAACACACAAACTTCTTGCAGGTATTGCTTACTTACATGGAAGTGATCAACAGAAGAAGCCTACAATAGTTCATCGAAACATCTCTGTCGAGAAAATCCTACTCGATGAGCAATTCAACCCTTTGATCGCTGATTCGGGTCTTCACAACCTTCTAGCAGACGATATGGTCTTCTCAGCACTCAAAACAAGTGCAGCAATGGGATATTTAGCTCCAGAATATGTCACAACCGGAAAATTCACCGAGAAAACCGACATTTTTGCCTTTGGAGTCATCATTCTCCAGATACTCTCTGGCAAGCTCATGCTTACTAGCTCACTGAGAATTGCAGCTGAGAATGGAGAACATAGCGGGTTCATCGATGAATATCTTCGTGAAGAGTTCGATAAACCAGAGGCGATTGCAATGGCGAGGATCGGGATAAGCTGTACACAGGAGATTCCAAACAATAGGCCTAATATAGAGACATTGCTTGAGGATATAAACTGTATGAAGAGTGAATGAGTCTGTTTTGATTAGTAACTCTGTTTCAACATTGTGCAAGTATGATTCTCCGGTTAAGCAGTATCACACCAATTGGTTTTCTTTGTTTTGTTTTTCTCCGGCAAGAACCGGTCCGGTTTATATTTTATTTAGATTTGTAGCTGAGAATTAAAACCTAAATTTAGGTAAATAAATAAGATATTAACACAAAAATTGAAATCAGAGTCAGAGCTTAAAGTGCAGACCCAGAACATCAAAAGTATGTATCTTTAATCATATTCATGACTAATTTACTCAGAGTGATTATTGAATAAGAGACATTGTGTTGTTGCCTATAGATTTCTTTATGATGATAGTTGTACAGTGATAATGCAATTTCACTGTTTAGTATTTCTTCAATTTCAGGTCATCAATGTAGCAAAGAAAGATCAAATCAAGTTCCTTTGCTCAATCTGACCAATGAGCAGGTTTGTTTAATTGTTTTGTTTGTTGGTCTTTGTGGTTAAAGCTCTGTGATGTGAAATTTTGAAGCTTATCCTATGTATAAGTTTCCTCATTGTTCGATTATAGGGAAGGAGTTATATCTTTGAGTTTCCTCATTGCCGTGATTTCATCAGTAAGCACAATGTGCCGTGGTTTGCTTTTATTGAGGAGCCTAAGGAATCAGCTGAGCAACTTAGTATAGCAGACTTGGAGCAATGCTTCAAGCTTCTTAGAGAAAATAGGTATGTGAAGAGAACATGAAGTTGTTATCCGGTTTATGAATTGATCTTAGCTTATTTCTCTGTCAGGTTCTTGATGCTCCGTTCCAACACTACGAAGCCGACTTGTAGAGAAGAACCACTAAGAGCGTTAGAGGAATCTCCCATTAGAAGAAATTGAAATTTTAAAGATATTTTAACAGTTCGAAGATTCCATAATATCTCATTATAATATATATTTCTACGCAAAATATAATGATAAACAAAATATCAAATTGTATCAAAGTAGGTATATATATATTTCTACGCAATGTTTTAACATAACACAAAAACTTCTGAATTTCTTTTTAAGAAGTACTACAATATAGAATGAGAACAATTACATCTGATAACCAAAAAAAGAATGCGTACAAGTAGGTAGTGATATGACTTAAAGTCGTTTAAGTCACTCACATGAAAGTCGAGTTCGAGTTGCCAAAAACAAATAATTCTAAAAAGATTAGTTTGCCAGTGGAACACATATATTTGACTAAGCTTGACATCGTGAGTCGAATTTGCCTGGACACGACGTTAAAGCCTGAGAGTGAGAGGTAGGTTAGTGTGTCATCATCACTTTTCAGTTCTCATTTCCAATTTGTAAAATGTTTTTATTCTTTATAAGATAGACATTACGGAAAGTGTAACTGCAAAAAAATTATGTACGAAGTCGATCAAAATTAATTGTGTGAACATAATTACATAAACCTTTCAATATAACAACCAAATAGTTGTCTTCAATTTAACTTTTGAGACGAGAGAGAAAATGAGAGTCCAAAAAGTCATGAGTCACTTATAATTTGTCCATGCATAATTTGACTTTGCAACGTACGAGGAATAAATATATCCGACTTGTAAAATATGTGATCCACTATATATCTAGCTACAGACAGACCTATGGTTTTACACGGATCATCTATTTAAATTTTTAAATAGATACAACAATTGGATGATACTCACAATCATTTTTTTTTTTCTTTTTTTCAATTATTCTAATTTGTATCTAACAAAAAATTTATTCTAATTAGTTTTATTGCATTCACATTATCTATTCTTGCGTTCTTTTCATTTTTCTCACGGGTTGGAAGAAAATTGTTAAAATTTGTACATTCATTGGTGTTGGTCCTTCTGGTTCTGTAAAGTTTAATTTCTATAAATACTAAAAAGAAAAACAAGAAGAAACAATATTTTGTACTTTACGAAAACGTACGTCATGACTCCACCGAGAATCAATCTCGAGTTGCCAAAAACAGGTTATTCGAAGAAAGAAAAGTGACAGTAGACGCAAACATTTTGTATGCTACATATTTTCAATTCTCATTTTTCACAATCACAAAAAATGAATTTTGACAAGTGGATGGCTTCGTCGTTTCTTCACTTTGCCAAATATAATTGAAGTGTAATCGTATCAAGACGTGCTAACCTAGAAACATCATAACAAGATATATGATCGTTCTACCTATCTCTAAATCATATAGTTTCATGTATATTATTTGATCCCGCATATATATTATTTGTAATTCATCTAATGTATATTATACTTCGATTATCCCTTGACTCAAGGAAAACAGTCTCAAAATATTATTTTCTGTTTTATTTTCTTTAAAAAATTAATGTGGAATCCGTTAAAATGTTGCACATCAATATTTATATATTGATTATTATGAATTAAAAAGTTTGCAAAAGATATATAGTCCAAAAGGTTTCGATTAAATTTTAATATTCTTAGCACCATGCTATCATTAACATTTGATGCCAATAATATGCATGATGGACGACATCTAGACAATTACATATGAATGTTAATTGGTACTCATTCTGTCATTCATACTCTTAAATAGATGTTTTTAAAATGATTTGTAACATATGTAAACAGAAAAATATAAACTCATGAGTATTTCCTAGGAATATCTCTCTAACGAAAATTATAAAACTAGTGTTAACCACTTTTTAAAAATGGAAAGATGTCTAACCTCAGAACTCTTTTACAAATATTAAAAATAAATTACATAATTGTAAAATAATAGTATTATTGTAGCACTACGTAACATTTCAAGAGGTGTCCGTACCAAATAGCTTCTATATATATACATAGACATACACCCACCAGAGACTCATTCTCATTACTTTCATAATTTCTTCCCTAGAGCCAGAGGCTGAGATAAAGAGGTCACAAATCAGTCTCTTTTCTTTTAATTTCGCCTTTCATATATATGTTTTATTAAGTCTCTCCTCTCATATCTATAGATTGTTCTTGATTTTTGCCTTTATATAATAATAACATATTTGAATCTTTTTAGGAAAACAATGGCAAAGAAAGTGGAAATTTACGGTGGTTTTGGAGAAGAATTTGATGATGGTGTTTACGACAGTGTGAGGAAAGTGTGTGTTGGAGTAGAAGAAAAATCTTGCTTCAAGGTCAAATAGAGATTGAAGAAAAAGAAGAAGAAGTCGATCAAGTAATCAAGGAATCAAAGATGAATTGGATCAATGCTCTGATACCATGACAAGTTATGAATTGCTGAATGTCGACTTGTGTTATTAGGCTCTAAGGCCATAGTATTTATACAAGATGAGATTAACCCTAAACCTAGTACAATAGGAAATCTCGTAGATATGGTAAAATCTAAACAAGAGAATATACATACTGTATAAGACTAGAGATATAGAATATATCCTAATAGATGCTTAAGTTCAAGACAAACAAGGCTACATATCAAGTGTTAGGAGCCGAGACAGAAGGTTATGAGTATGTGGGCACATCGTTCGTGTTGGGGGAGACTGATCACAAGATTGTTGGGTTCCATGGCAATTCTTTATATGGTGGTCTCGTGCAAATTGGTGTTTATGTTTCGCCAATCAATAACGCTTAAGCTTACTATCTTTTCTAAGTAGAAGAATAATAAAGAGAAAAGCTGTCTATGCTTTTACTCACGTACTCTCCTATTACTATTATCTCATAAGTTGATCTTATGTTGCCTTCGTAGTTGTTGTTTATACTCTCTTTAACTACAAATGCCTTTATAAAGTGGTATTTCTTCAATTTATTCGATTTTGAGATGATCGCATTCGCACCAATGTTTCTTTTACTTTTTCCTTCTATTTAGTATTTTGTGGAAAATGTTTAGTTTTCAAAGCTGTTGGACCATCAACAATTATGGAATCTCGCATTAAAATATTGAAAATCGTGAGAAGATACAAAATTAACAGATGGAAGAGTTAAACAAATATAGTAAGTTGAAAACTTTTTTCATTCAGTTGAAAATAAGATCATCAGCCACCTACAACTTTATCAGTTTCTTCACTAACTCCAATGGAAAAAGCAATTCACAATTCACAAGCCTAACTTTATTCATCAAGTATCCATGTTAAATGTTGTATCTATTTAATGTATGAGTTTCAAAAAGTTTGTAGAATATTTTTTTAAAAATCAGCCATAAAATTTATGTCGATCAAGTACACAATCATAACTATATCTATGAATTTTGCAAGACTTAAAGATAACCCTTTTAGATTATAAGCAACTAAAGAACTGATAAATATAGCAAAGATATATTTAATCAGTTTTTACTTTTCCACAATCTTAAAAACAAACAATACAAGATGAACAAATAGCTCTTTGGTGACTTGGCTATATTACATATGAATGTTGGTACTCATTTATACTCTTAAATAGATGTTTTAAAAATCATTTGTAACATGTAAACAGAAAAATATAAAAACTAGTGTTAACCACTTTTTTGAGAAATCAAAAGTAAAAAAAAGTTCTACAACTACTTCCTTAGAAGTTATAAATGGAAAGATGTCTAATCTCATAACTCTTTTACCAATATTAAAAATATATTACATAATTGTAAAATAATAGTATTATTGTACCAAATAGCTTCAATATATATACATACACCCACCAGAGACTCATTCTCATCACTTTCATAACTTCTTCCCTAGAGTCAGAGGCTGAGATAAAGAGGTCCCAAATCAATCTCTCTTCTTTTAATTTCGCCTTTCATATATATGTTATATTAAGTCTCTCCTCTCATCTCTATATATATATTGTTCTTGATTTTGCCTTTTAATAATAATAACATATTTGAATCTTGTAGGAAAACAATGGCAAAGAAAGTGGGAATTTACGGTGGTATTGGAGAAGAATTTGATGATGGTGTTTACGACAGTGTGAGGAAAGTGTGTGTTGGAGTAGATGGTGACCGTGTAAGCTCTGTTGAATTCGAGTATGGTAAGGGAGACCAAACGATAACTCTTTCTCACGGCAAAAAATCATCACAAGAACGTAAAGAGGTATATATATCTTGATCATTTCTTGCATCCATTTTCTCTTATCTTTTTGTTCGCTTTGTTTAATGAATCCGGTTCTATTTTGCAGTTTGTTCTTGACCATGATGAATATATAAAATCGGTGGAGGGAACTTTCCATCAAGATTATTTCATCTCGTCGTTAACGTTCATAACATCAGTGGAGAGAGACCGTGAGGTATTTGGGAAAGAGGTTGGTACCAAATTTGTCCTCAAAGCAAAAGGGTTTGATAAGCTTGTCGGCTTCCGAGGAAGGTCTTCCCTTGACCGTCTCAATGCTCTCGGAGCACATTTTGCGGTGGTGCTAACTCCTCCGGTCAAAAAGCTAGAAGCAAAAGGTGGGAACTTTGGGGACGTGTGGGATGACGGTGTCCATGACAATGTTCGTAAGATAACAATCAGACGCAGCGAAGAATCTGTGGGAATGGTCAAGTTTAAGTACGTCAATGGAACGGAGATTGTATTGGGAGACGCTCGTGGGCATACTTCACAGCTTCCGTTGGTAAAAGAAAAGGTATATTTGCACTCTCTCCTCAAATTTATTATTACCCAATAACTAAAGTTACATATATGTAATTTTATTTTGTTTATGTTTTATCATATTGTAGTTCGTGCTTTCTGAAGATGAATACATCACATCTGTTCATGGACACTATGGTCAAAAGTTTCCAGTTGGACAATCCGTTAATTTGCATGGTCGCTTTTGCGACGGTATAACGATGCTTAAGTTCAAGACAAACAAAGATACATATCAAGTGTTAGGAGCCGAAACAGAAGGTTATGAGTATGTGGGCACATCGTTCGTGTTGGGGGAGACTGGTCACAAGATTGTTGGGTTCCATGGCAAGTCATCTAGATTTTCTCTTGCACAAATTGGTGTTTATGTTTCGCCAATTAATAACGCTTAAGCTTTATTATCTTTTCTTAGTAGAATAATTAAGAGAAAAGCTATCTATGCTTGTAGTTCTCACTCTCCTATTACTATTATCTCATAAGTTGATCTTATGTTGTCTTCGTAGTTGTTGTTTACACTCTCTTTAACTATAAATGCCTTAATAAAGTGGTATCTCTTCAATTTATTCGATTGTGAGATGATCGAATCAATGTTTCTTTTACTTTTCCTTCTATTTAGTATTTTATGGTATATGTTTAGTTTTCAATGTTGAAGGACCATCAACAATTATAGAATCTTGCATTAAAAAAGTTGAAAATCTTTAGAAGATACAAAATTAACAGTAGGAAAGAGTTTAACAAATATAGTAAGTTGAAAACTTTTTTCGTTCAGTTGAAAATAAAGATCATCAGCCACCTACAACTTTATCAGTTTCTTCACTAACTCCAAATGAAAAAGCAATTCACAAATCACAAGCCTAACTTTACTCATCAAGTATCCATGTTAAACGTTGTATCTATTTTATGTATGATTTTCAAAAAGTTTGTAGTATATTTTTAAAAAAATCAGCCATAAAATTTATGTCGATTAAGTACACAACTAACTATATCTAAGAATTTTGCAAAACTTAAAGATAACCCTTTTAGATTATAAGCAACTAAAGAACTGATAAATATAGCAAAGATATATTTATCATTAAAGAGCAGTATTTAAAATCCTCAAATTCATCATACAGTTACAATAATGATGCAACCTAAGTAAAGTAATTAGTCTTTGGTTACATTCACTAAAGATTTTAGAAACCATACATGTCGTCAGAGATTAGTTTCTACCAGGTCCTCTAACATTCATTGCAGCTTTCGGTCTTCTGGATGATTCTGCTCGTGCATGAGAAGGACTTGGATCAGTCGAGGGAAGTAACATTGGTTGCTCTCTGTTTACAAGACCACCTGTAAGAATATCAAAGACATGATTTCTTTTTGTTCACAGAGAAACGTACAACACGGGAGATTTGACGGCGTAATTTGACTACTTACTTCCAAATGAACCAGACCGACCGGGTAACTGCATTTGCCTTCTAGCATTTCCACTCCAAGACTGTTCAAAATTAGCCAATTCATCTGCAGAATTTTGCATTGAAAGCAAACGGTATATAAGGATCTCTCATCCACAATTGAATCTTTCTGCAGCTTAACGAGAAAAGTATTACTTACCTTCATTTAAATTGTGCAAGGTCTGTGTTGTATCAACACGGCCATCTGAGTTAAGTTTACGTGCAACCGTGTGGCCCTGCAAGTATAAGAACATAACTTATAGTTAATCCAACAACAGAAGATAAAAGATTTATTATCCTCAAGGTTAAGGTTGTATGTATAAACTACCTTGTTATGAAGGCCCCTTGAAATCCTATGCGCTGCCTCCCGCGTTGCAGTGTTGGCTTCTCTGCTTTCTTCAAGAGTTAACTGTTCCACAGTAAGACCAGTTTTAGTAGTAAGCATAAGCTAACATCCTTACACACACACACACACACAAATACATTACCAATATAACTCACCCCATCACTTCCTGTCCTTCTGGTTTTCGATGAAGTATAGTAGTTGCCGTTCTGACCCCCGTATGTAACAGTCGAGCTCTGAAAACTATAACTACCTGTTTGAGGTTGCCACTGTCCATTGTTCACCATGGCATTCACATTCATGTTCTGCATTTGTGGGTTCCTTCTCTCTGCATTTACATTCATGTTTTGCATTTGCCGGTTCCTTCTCTCTGCATTTACATAAAACACAATCAGTTCCAAAGAAACAAACGATTTCCTTCCGTTAAATAACTAAGGTAGAAACGAAACAAAATATCACCTTCCACTCTAGCATCTTCATTTTCAGCCTCACTGCTTGACCTGCCATGTTTCCCTAGCCTTCCTTTCTTCTCTTTATCTCCTTCTCCTTCTTTCTCATCATCTGATTCAATCTCTTCAATAACCGGTCCACGTGATCTACTCGGTCCTGGTGGCTGATTATTCTCAATAAAACCCGGCGGAAGACGACGCATTTCTGCAAAAGGATTCATGCTAGGACCAAAGAAGTTGGACTGAAACATGCCACCACCAAAAGGCTGAGTGAAAAAAGGATCATCAAACGGATCTCTTCCTCCGAAAAAATTATCCATGAGATTTGGAGGACCATTAGGGCCACCAAAACCACCAAAGGAACCGCCTCCAAAACCACCAAAAGGGCCGCCTCCAAAACCACCAAAAGGACCACCAAAACCACCACCAAAAGGATCTCTACCACCTCCTTGCATCTTCCTGATAAACTATCATCAAACACAAGAAGATCACATAGTTTTTCCAGAAATCTGAAATTTGCAATTCAACAAAATCTCTAGTAAGATAACAACTCTCTAACTACAAAGCAAATTCAACAGTAAGAATCACAATCCCAGAATTCTGGGAGATTACATAAATCGATCACAATCAAGTCAGAAACAACTCCGGAACGTAAAAATCATGGAGCAAAAACAGAGACCTGAAGCAAACAGCCCTAACGCAAACCCTAACGAAGAACTTGAAATTGAAATCAATCACAAATCAAAATCAAACAACAGAATTCTCCATGATCGAATCCGAAGTTCATACCTCGAAACAACGATTCTGATTTTCCAAAAATCTCAGAGAGATATTTGTTGGAATTGAGAATTTTCTCTTAAGCCTTTTTATTGCAATTTAAGATTCTTCTCGAACTGTGTTTTTACAGAAGTCGCGATGTGATTGGCTGATGGGTTAACTCAGACACCGTTTCTGTAATTTTTCTTTTGCTCATTGTCATAATTTGATGGATTTTCTTCTAAACATGACATAATTTAAAATTTCTACAGGTTTTTTTAGTCCATTTTTTCTATAATCCATATTTTTATTAGTTGAATCTAGTTTTCTCGTTGTTCAAAATGAGTTCCCGCGCGATTTCGTACTGTTTTACATTATTGTTCTAATTGATCGTTGAAGGTGGATTTAACGATTTTACGGAGTTAAATCGAAGATTAATAATTATTGAACCTTAAAACAACTACCAAAGTCTAGGAAAAAAAAGCTACCACCAAACATGGAAAATGAAGGTCACACTCGCAATCAACTAATTGCGCGAAAAAAAACAGCAGATGCGGAATCACAAAGCTCACAAGTAGCCGCGAATGAAAGAAAAACAGCGAAGAAAAACCTGAAATAAGACGAGTAACAAGAACAAAGACCCACAAATGAGAATCACAAATTCTACCCACACAATCTTCATCTTAGAGAGTCTAAATTTAGAACTTTGCATCCTCACAAAAAGTTAGTCTTACAAGAACAGACCAAGGAAGACCACATGAAAAAACTGCTTATTCAACTAAACTAAGGGCGGTGAAAGGAACTAAAGAAACATACACAAAACCATGAGAAAGGACTCACTTCAAGGGCTGCTCAGAAAACCCAAGCGGGGAAACATACATATAGTATATGCTACTATGAACTTTTCTTTTGAAAATCCCAAAAATGCAATCATTGGTTAAGACTTTTTTCATAATGCTCTCAATCTAGAAGAGGTTATGACCACTACTCACTGTTGAGTGTTGAGTGTAGATTAATAGCCATATGTTGAAGTGGAAGATGTTCTACACATGCTGCTTAAATATACAAAGCTAGACTATGATGCTTAGGTACCAACCAGTCTCTCTCACACCATAGAACACTGAGTGATTTATAGGCGAAAAGTCTGAGGATCCCGTTTTTTCGTTTTTGTATTTTAGTTGATTACTATATAACAAGAGGGATTCATGTAGTTGTGACATAACAAAAAGAGAAGAAAAGATCATCCTTCATTAGAACATAAATATCCAATCAGAGTCAAAGAGATGGGTTTAGATAACATTCTAAAGAAAGAAGTCCAACCTTAATCCCTCATTAAAAGACTAGACCAGCTAGAACCTAGATAGAGATCACTCCTAGAACAACTTCAACATCATAAGAAGCTTCGAGACTCGGAAGCGCTTTGTAGCTCAATCAATTACTTCCCTTGGATGTCTTGGGGGTCCTGTCAGATATTATACCATTCGGGACAGTCTCTTCCATCACCTTTGGGACTGTGAAATTGAAGTCGCCAAGCAGTGCATACTTGTAATCCTGATTGGCATCGATGAAGGCTGCGATTTCATTGCGAGACTTGAGCTTCTTCCCAGTAGGAGTTATGTAGTACGCATCCATTTTCGAGTAGTCCTTCCTCAGAATTAAGCTCCTCTTGAACCCTCTTGGTGTCTTGGGCAAGCCAGGCTTGTCGATGACCCATGTTCTGGAGGAATCATAGTTTAAGTCTCCAGCATCTTCACAGGATATACCTTCTTTCTTCTCGCACACATACGGGTCCTCTTGTATTCTACTTCTGATCTCTTCGTATTCATCTTGAGTACCAATCTGCCTCCACTTCAGGCATTTTTCACACTGTACAGCAAAGACATCGATCGACCTCCCTGGAGTACCGGCTTTTTTCTACACAATACAAATATGGAATCTCGGTGAAAAGAAGAACAGTCACTCACATACACACAAGATACTTGGATAAATAGAATCAGATAAAAACCATACTACAACAAATCCAGTTCCAGAATCACGCAACTCGTTTAATCTATAGGCAAGGCGAGAAAATTTGCCTAGAGAAACACAAAGTGTCACACTTTAAGCTTCTATAGAAGAGAGAACACACAATAGAAATCAAAGAAGTACTATTATATATAGCCTGCATGTTAGAAACAAAATTCAATCTACAGAGACACCATCAAAAGAGTGAAACTTAGAACAGATAGATAAACCATATTTGACGAAATAAAGTAATACCCTTTTTAAAATGTCTGCATCAAATAAGAAAGTTTTCGAGACAGAGAACTTGTAAAAACCCTAATGATTCTTAAACCAAAATCACAAGTAATAGATAGAATTGAATGTGTAAAACATAAATGATAAGATCTGTGTGGTAAAAGGAGACACAAACGCAAAAATTGAATGTGGTTTTGGTTAATGAGGTAACCTTAAGGATTGGTTTGGCTAATTTCTCGGTCTGACTCTGATCGTCCATCTCACTTCCCCTGATGACTTTGTTCAAATTCACTGCCAAAAAAAGGAAACCTTCAATTTCAAGCCCTAACGAGAGAAACCCAGAATTGAGTTTTCAATTACTGATCAAACATCTAACAGCAAATTCAAGGAGAATTGAGTTCATACCTCGAACAACGATTCAGATTTCCAAAAATCTCAGAGCTTTTTTTTGTTTTTGTTGGAATTGAGAAGTTTTCTTTTAACCCTTTTTATGCAATTTTGGCCCCCGCAGAAGAAATGTGATAAAAAATCTTCTCCAACTGTATATACAGATGTCGAGATATGATTGGATGAATGTTACACGCAGACCTTCTTTTTGTGTAATTTGTAATGGATTTTCTACTAAACATGGCATTATTAATTAAATTTCCATTGTTAATTAATTTTTATGTGGCATGGAAACTCTCTATGTGGTGCGTTTTTTTTTTGTTTTTGGAACGTTTCGGAAACGGAAACTTTTGAAAACACGAAAAAAATGTTATGGAAATACGTTACTTTTGTTTGAAAACGCCATGAAAACTCACGCTTTCGTTTCGGAAACGTGACAAAATCTTTTTTTTTTCTAAATTTGGAAACTTAATAAATAAAGAGTTTAGAAATATTAAATTTATAATACATATAACTAATTTTGTAAGATTCCAGTTTTAAGATTTTTCTTTCGACGAACTAGATTTGTAAGCATGTTTACCTTTTAGAGTTTTGGTTAAACTATTAAATATTTATGGTTTAGACTTATGTTGTTTTAAACACTTTTTCTTTAACATAGTTCTTAATTTTATTTTTTGACAACATATAGTTCTTAAATTCTTATGTTTAGTGCTACATACATATTTATATATATATATATATATTTATGTGTATATATACGTTTCTAAAACGTTTCTATTTCTTAATTTAAGAGAAAAATCATTTCCCATTTTTGAAACATTTCACTTTCGCGTTTCCGTTTTCATGTAATATTTGGCCAAAGTAATTTAGTTAGAGTGATTTAGTATTTTAGTTACTCATAACCAGTGTTCTAAAAAGCGGTCTAGGCGGTCGCCTAGGCCCCGACTAGGCGCTAGGCTCTCATGCGACGCCTAGATAACCGTATTGACCGCCTAAAGTTACATAGATCTTGTTTAATGTATTTTTTTCAATTTTAATTAGAGTTTTATTTATATATATAGTTATACATATTTATATATTGTTTAATATAAATATAAATAAATTTTTTATCTAGTTTTGTTTATAATTTCATAATTTTTAGTTTTATATAGACATTTTATATAACTTTTATATATAATATCATATTTATAATATTTTATGTTATAAACGTCTAAACCGCCTAAAAAATCGCCTAGGCCCCGATTAGACGTTCTAGGCGCTAGGCACTGGATCACCGCCCGCTTAGCGCCTAGCGCTTTCTTGAACACTGCTCATAACAATATAGAAATTTACTTTGGCCAAAAAAAGAAGAAAATAAATTTATTTTAGTAAAATATTGCATTATAAAATAAATAAAGAAACATTTAAAAAGGGCAAAAAAGTAATTATTTTTTATTCCATCCATAAACATACACAAAGTATGTGCTACGTGACATCTTTGATAGTTACAATACATCATTCACGTGTCGTCGTGATATCTTTTATCATAAATAACATGTTATTATTATCAATAGTGAAAACAAGGAAATGGTATATTTAAGCAAATGTGAAAAAAAAAAAAAATTTATAAATAAAATTGTTGGCTGTGTAAAGAAGCTTGAGAAAATTCATTTCACAAAAATGAAACATTCCACAAAAGGCACTAATCTTTAATACACAAGACAAGATATATATTGATACATACACAAAGCAGACACACACACTTCCAAAATTTCGAGTTTTAAGGTCATAGAGACTGAAGTGGCTCTGTCTCGGACTCCGACCTGCTCGTAAAGTCTAACCCTCCAAGTGCTGGCAACTTCTTCTTATCGTCTTCGGTGTACAATGGCACGAACCAGTACATTTTATCGCTTCCAAAAACCTGATTCAACAAAGGAATAGAGACCAAACTTTTAAAAGCTTTCATTGTGTTTATGTGATGTCCAAGGTTTCATCTAAAGAAGCCTGAGACTACTTTCATTTAACCCAAGAATCGACAATTGAAGAACTAGTTTTGAGACAGACAAAGAATATGGAGAGAGAACCTGTTCAAAGTTTGTCTTACGACCAACGTTGTATGGCCAGTTAACTGTATGCTTCTCATACGCCTGCGATAAATAAACCATTAGTTTGGTCAGTGAGTTTATACTTTATAGTCATGGAGATCCCTGAGAAACCCCAAGAAGTTAAGAGCAAAACCAAAGTGATGACTGATGAGAGTTGTTTACCTCAATAGTTGTGGTGTTACGAGCGACTAACATTATGTGCATAATTAGGAAGCCTAGGACACTTAGCGCAAATGCTATGTTCAATACTGGAAAGCAAGAAAAGGAAGATTTTGAATCAGATGGTAACCTTAAGGTGTTCTGAAACAAACAAGCAAACGAAAACGAAAACTGAGATATATATATATCTTTGAGCTCACCAAATGCAACAAAGCTGGCTGCTAGGCTTCCTGGTGATACGGTTATATCACCATCTCCATCGGTGAAGAATACGAGGAAAACTGGCAATAGTGATATTGCAACCACCGTGGTCTCAAGAAATGTGTAAAACTGCATTTTGACATATTGGGAATGCAATAAGACCATGGCAACACTAATGAACAGAACATATCAGAAAACAACTTCATTCAGCGATGCTATGATAAGTAGACATACCAAGAATAGGAGAAAAGACTTGTAATTCATTGCCCCAACACAATTTACAACCCAAACACAGTGATGGTCCATCTTTAATATGCATCTTCCACCTGAAAACCCCAAGATGAAAACTTTTTCACAACTAAAAAAAAAAGATACACCACCGGATTCAAAGAAAAGAATCACTCAATGAAAAGACTTACACACTGAACAATGGTGAGACCGAGGCGGTTTATATTGATTGCACTTTCGACAGTATCTTACACCATGAGACGAGGAATCTCCAACCGAAAGTGATGAGTTAGCTTCTCCAATCAAAGCTTGGTTTCCATCGCTTTTCTCTACGTCTAATTCTGGCCTCCAACCCGTTGGAACACCACCAGGGTCCGTCACAACAACAGAGAAATAACTCCACAATAGCATTATAAGCTGCACACAAAACAACAGTCATGAAAAAAGCAGTCCTTTGCTTCTTTTTTTACTCTTTCTTCTGAGAGTTCAAATGTTGATAATCTATTACAAGACATGAGAAATCAACAGCTTCAAATGTAAATCCACACACCAACCATGTCAAGCTTCAAACTAGTGCAACAAAGCAACAAGCTTTGACTCAATTCAAGTTGAAACTGGTGTATCTAAAAGATATTCAATTCGTAAGTAACTAAGGCATAATCCAAACCAGCTTATCACGTAATTAGCAGAGATCTAGAGGGTACTAAACGCAAAGATCTCAAAAGGGTCAGAAAAAGATTCAAAATTTAAGATTGACCTAGAAGAAAGAATTGAGTTTACCAGAAAGTGGAACAGAGCTAAAACAAGAAGAGCTAGTAATGAATCGACACCACCGATCAATAGAGCTGGTCCGTAATTCACGACGACAACGGCGTAGTATGTGAATCCGATGATCCCGATAACAATTAAGATCATGATCGAACCCAAGGCGCGAAGTGCTGTGCAGAACTTGAACACGTTCCACGCCATTGTCGGGGTTCTTTCAAAAACCCAGAATTTCTTGGTCGGAGAAATATAATTGAAGCAAGCCCCAATTGAATTGAAGAAGAAATTTTATAAATTTCGATGAAATCGAGCTGAAATTTTTATTGTTTTCATGGATAATTTTCCTTTCTTTTTTTTTTGGTTTAACAATTTATTATTATATAAGTTAACTCCCTCTGTTTTTTAAAAGTTGTCGTTTTAACTGTATTTAGACAAATTAAGAAAAGGTATACAATGACTATATTAACCTCATAAAAATGACAAGTAATTATTTACAAATAATTTGTTTTCAATAAAATAAGGGTAATTTGGGTAGTTATTGGAATAAATTACATTATTACCTTAAAACGACAACTAATTTAAAACAAGAAAAAAGCTCTAAAACGACAACTATTCGAAAACGGAGGGAGTAGTTCCTAAACTCCTAATCTTGTCCATGTCAGGCTAAAGAAACGATTAATTGTGCTAATTTTAAGAATTGGAATTTTATTTTTTTAAGAATTACAAAATTGAAATTAACCCATACGGTAACTAGTAACACGCATGGTAAATTAAATAATTCAAGTGAAGAAATAATTTTTTTTTCTTTGAATTATTTTTCGTCACATTATTGCAGGAACTACTTATATGGATCATTATTGTTTTGCTCTTGCTAATCTCATTTTCAACCAATGAGAATAAAAGTCAAAATTTTCGGACATATTAGGTTAGAAAAAGAGTAAATCCATATCATAATAGTAACAATTTATTCCTCTTTTTTTTTTTTTTTTTTCAGCCACATTTTTACTCTCTCTCTCTTCTTCGATTCCCCTTGAAGTAGGGGGTTTCAGTGGGAACGAGATCAATCAATGAAGGGTCAAGAGAAAGAAGAAAAGAAGAATGGCGCTGCGGAAAAAAGAAAAGTCACTGAGGATTTGCCTTCTACTCCAATCCAACCCTTAAATCTTATCAATGAATTGAAAATATATAAACCCTGTACGAATTTATTACTAATCGTATTTCGTTCCTCCCTTCTCTTCAGCTTCCTCTTTAATCTACAAACGTATAAGATAAACCACAAAAACAAACATTTCATAAACAAACTAATTTATGGAGAGGGCCACATATCATATATGAAGCTAATAATCTGAAGTTTTAAATATTAACCTGTTGATGAAGAAGCTTCTTATGGATTCGATAGCCCTTATATAATGACAGAAAAAAATATAACAACAACATTGGTCAATGTTTTAATATAATCCAGAGAATTAGTTTAAACGCTAACGGACAAAGAGTAAGGAGCAAGAATTTATTTGATTGAAGTTTGATCAACACTCACTTTGTCAGTTCCATAAATGTAATCGCAGTAAGTGAAAACTGAAGCAAAGTTGCTTTGGCTTTGTCCTCCAACGTAGTGATGGTAGTCATGATACTCAGCTCCACCGTAAAATGGAATAAATTTTGTCAGACTCCATGGAAAATCATATCTGCAAACAAAATCAACAAGTGCATTTTTCTTTTTTTGTTTGATAAAAACCACATTGCTTCAATAGTGATATTTTAGCGTCTTAGTTTCATATATATGTAAATATTTATGCTTTTTTTTTCCGCGTTTCGCATTTGTAATAGCAATTTTTGAATGGTATTCGCTTAAAACACTAAACCTTTCTTTTGTATATATGTAAATGTAACCGCTAATTTTACCCGCTGTGAGTCTCAATCGCTTCGATTTGGCGTAAAGATATCCATAACCAAAATGTCATTATGTGGCCAGGAGCAATAGCCGGTCCAAGAAACGTCGGAATTCCTAGAATCAAAATCTCGCCCCAATGTGCGTACGGCGACGCATATCCGATCGGAGATGTGTACTCGTGATGGATTCGATGAATCTTCTCATACCCCCATTTGCAATGCATCCATCTATGGATCCAGTAGTTAGTGTAATCTTCTATCAAGAAGTAAACCACTAATTGTGCTACTATCTCCGTTAACGATGGTAATGGCAAACCACTTCGAATCCCAATCATCTGTCAATCAACACATATATAATCTCCCTTTTTAGTATATTTCAAGAACATCACAAATTAACAAAAAGTGTTGCAAGAAAGAAAAAAAAACTCAAAAAGGGGAATATACATGTATACAATAATATAACGTTTCAATTTACAATTTTAAATGGGAATTTGCTCTGAATAACCAAAAAAAAAATCAGCAAAAAATTGTATAACAGCCACACACATACAAAAAATGTTGGAAAACTAACACTTAAAATAGGGGAATATACATATATAATAAAATATTTGGTTGTTTGTTTTAAAGAATAAACGAAAATATAAAAATGAATAATAATAACCTGGATGGAAGGATAAGAGACGATTTGCAATGTGCCGACGACGAGAAGGAACAACTTCATGACTTGTTTATAACATCGGAACATATCAGACAACGAATACTTAACCTTCTTTTGAATCTTAAACTGATCGAACCAACCGGTCAATTCCACAACCACGAGAGGGAAAGGAGCTAATGAAAAGACAAGGAAGAGAAGCAAAATGGTGTGGCAATATACATAGAAATTGGATTTGGTGGCTGAGTAATCGAACCAAACCGTCTCAAACCAAGTCAGGTTTCGGCCTAACGCCAAGGACGCCTCTTCAACGGTTGGATAAGGGATCATATCGTGAGACTCTTGTGAGTGTCTGGATTAATATGTGTGGTTTATGTTATAGCATTGTTTTTGAAGTTATATGAGTATATATGACTATGCTTGAAAAACTATATAAAAATACACAAATGTCGAAACATGGTACCGACTTAATTTTTTCGGTCATTTCTTTTTTTGATTTTTCCAAATTTTGGTAAATTTTTCCCTTTGAGAAGTCCGCAAAATTGGGTCCTCAATCTTTCTGTTTTTAACTTTTTAGTAGAACACAAAAAAACATATCTTATCTCTTTACGTCTAAATTTCATATGAAGGGTCACATTTTCGTTAGATAATATGAAAATTAAAAGTTTACTAAGGTTGTTATTTTTTAGGCCATTAGTTATTTAGGTTGGAAGATATTCTAAAATGGTATTTTCAAAAATATCTAATGGAAATTTCATTTGATAGACCTGTTATCGGAAGTAATTTTATTTTTAGCAAATGATTTTGAATAGCCTTTCTTCATTATTTTCTGAAAATCTACGAAATGAAATAATTTTCTTTTGTTGGCGAACAGTGATACATACGTCAAGAAAAGAAAAACTCGTTGACACACAAGATATGAGTGGACAAACTTAATTTTAGCTTATTAAAACTCTTTCTTGAATTAATTAGTTTAAGAGTATAGTGTATAGATAAACTCATTGAAGTAGTTTACAATATAGCCTCACACAGCTAGCTACTACCCCATGCTTGAAGTTATTATCACGCGTTGAATAGTATTTGATTTAGATTCTAGCACAAAATTTTCAAATTCTAAGCATATTTATTCACTCTGTGTCCATGGTAAAATCTAAGACGACGAGAACAAGAAAATGTGTGTTGTTAGGTTATAACTGGAAGGAAGAGAGTGTTTCAATTTTGAAGTCAGAAGGTGGTTGGTAACAACTAAACAAGTTATGTACCTACTACTAGTACTTAAATGATTGCTACTTAAAACTGTTTTGAAGTTTGGTGAGTAAGCTTTAGTAAATGCGTGTGTTTCGCTTGTTTTGGCCTTCTTTGATTAGATTTGTTTTTCCTAAAGTCAATTCAGCACCCATCAATGCAACTATCAGATATAGTCCATGTTCTAAAAATCGGCCGCCTAGCCGTCTAGGCGCTGATCGAAGGAGAACCGCGGCGATTTTGTCTAAATCGGTAAGAAAAATCGTTGGTCCGATTTTTTGTCCGCCTAGACGGCGCCTAGCCCTTTTTTTTTTTTTACTTCCTTTTTTTGGATCTAAAATTTAAAACGTCCTACTTATATTCGTAATTTGTATAAAAATAATAAATTTGAGTTTAAAATCTTGTTTTCATGTGTTTAATGCAATTTTAAAAACAATATTATATAAATTTCTTAATTATAATGGATTAATATGTTTTTAAAACATTAAATAGCCCTAAAACTAATCCCCGATTAATCCCCATTTTTCTTCCTAGGCGCTAGGCCCACCCTCACCGCCCGACTAGCGCCTAGCGATTTTTTGAACACGGGATATTGTTAAGATTGTGGTGCGTTGCAGCGAGTTAAAAAATTCTCTGAGAGAGCTCCAAAAATACGTGAAAAGAAACGCCCACCGTGGGGCTCGAACCCACGACCACAAGGTTAAGAGCCTTGCGCTCTACCAACTGAGCTAGACGGGCCTTGTTGATAATGTCAACTGCTAAATTTATAGTATCAGATAATGAACTTGTTAAAATATGCGAAAACTCATTAACCTCTAAATAAACAAAAAGGATTTAGGGTCTGACTGGTTTAAACGCAGCGGTTGCAGTTGCGGTTGCGGGAGTTTGCGGAAGCGGGCGGTTGCGGTTTCAAGCGTTACCAAGCGTTTTGAACGACTGGTTTAGCGTTTGAAAATGGATGCGTTTGCGGGAGTTTTATGACTGGTAAATCAGCGGTTGCGGTAGCAGTTAAATAAAAAAATGACCAAAAAAATAAAAAATATTACAAAAAAAGAAATAAAAATACTAATATATTATTATGATAATATTAGAAAAATTGAACATGCTTAATAATTAAAACCATAAATAAAGTACTAAATAGTTATTCAAAAATAAAGAAATTTTGTAAAAAGATAGTATTTTATACTGGGTTAACACTAAAAATTGCATCAAGTAATGAGGCAAACTGTAAATAACGTTGAATTCAATCAAAAAGCAAGTGATTTTCTATTCGAGAAAATAAATCGAAACATATATTCAATCAAAAAGCAAAGCAATACATAATGAAAAGAAAAAAAAGATGCTAAGAAAAATATTCAAAGAGTTACACATGAGGTGATGAATGAATAAAATGATATATGATACTTACGTTTGGTTCTTGATTTTCATCAGTTTGGGTGGAAGACATTGAGAAAATAAAATTTTAGAATATTGATTAGGGTTTATGATGAGAACGTGATACAAAGATGAAAGATACATATAGGATAAATATATTTTATAATAATTATAAGTAAAGGTTTGTTTGTTTTTTTTTTTTTTTTTTTTTTTTTAAATCCAATCGCTACCACCCGCAACCGCAAACGCTTGCGGGAAGGAGCTTTTGAAATTCAGCGATTTCGAGCGGTTTAAAGCGGTATGGAGCGGTTTCTATGATTGGTACCAACCGCTAACAACTCCAACCGACCGCTAGCAACCGCTAGGAGGGTGCTAGCGGGAGAACCAATCAAGCTCTTATTCACACACACCAATTAAAAAAAAAGACCTTCAGATCGGAAAATGTCATAAGGAGCATTTTCATGTGACACAGGGAAGACCGGAAAAGAGAAAACTAACTACCCTCTCATTTGTAAGTCTTGACAAGATTAGTAGAATGCTTGGAAACTTACGGTACGTAATCTGTGTCTGCTTCTGCTTCATTACCTTCTCGAAACTTCAACCTTGCGAGGAGTTTTAGGTTTACTACTCGAATTTCTCTCCGTCATTAACCTGCTTGTTGCTCTTCCTGGACTCCTCCTTCATCTGCAACTCATAAGATACAACATCAAGAAATATATCATCAATATGATACTAGAGACCACATATATTGTTATGTGAGCTTGCAAATTGATAGCTTATGCCTAGAGATGAGCTAGTCTCAGTTTTGCGAGTATTTATTTACCTGCTGAAGAAGCTTCTTCTGGAATCGGTAACCCTGATGATGAAAGTAAGATTATATTATAACCACATTGTCAATGTTTTATCTAGAATTGGTAGACAACTAACAGGAAAGGAACTGAAGTTTCATTACTCACTTTATCAGTTCCATAGATGTAATCGCAGTAAGTAAAAACTGAAGCAAAGTTACTCTGGCTTTGTCCTCCAACGTAGTGATGGTAATCATGATACTCAGCTCCACCATAAAATGGAATGTATTTTGTCAGAGTCCATGGGAAATCATACCTTCAAAAGCATTAAAAAAAACAAGTCAATCTATCCCCAGAGAAACATGCACCAAGCAATCATCATATTGTCCAAATACTTCTTTGAACAAGAGGAGATGCTTATCATCAGAAAGATGTTTTCTTCCTCAGTCAATGAGAAATGTTAATCACCAAAGATTAACTAAGCAGTCTCTAAACAACCACCAAGAGCTAATTAGGGTCTACAAGAACGTCTTCCTTACCCGCTATGAGTTTCGATAGCCTCAATCTGTCGTAAAGCAATCCACAACCAAAAGGTAATCATATGACCAGGAGCAATAGCCGGTCCAAGAAACGTCGGAATCCCGAGAAGCAAAACCTCAGCCCAATGAGCATAAGGAGCAGCATATCCAATAGGAGCTGTATACTCATGATGAATATGATGAAACTTCTCATAACCCCATTTACAATGAAAGAATCTATGAACCCAGTAATTTGTATAATCCTCTACCAAGAAGTAAACCACTAACTGAGCTACAATCTCCAAACACGATGGTAATGGCAATCCACTTCGAATCTCAATCATCTGTTTCAATTGCCAACCACATAGCATCAATTTCAAATTAAGAACAGTCTCTAGCCAAATTCCAGAAACTACGTACCTGAATCGAAGGATAAGAAACGAGTTGCAATGGACCAACGACGAGGAGGAACATCTTCATGACGGCTTTGTAACATTTGAACATATCGGAGAATGAGTTCTTCGCTTTGGGTTGGATTTTGTAGCGATTGAACCAATCTGAGGTAGATTGAGATGATTCTATGAAGACGAGAGGGAGAGGGACGAAGGAGAAGATGAGGAAGAGGAAGAGAATGTTGTGGCAGTAGAGGTTGTAATCGGATTTGGTGGCGGAGTAATCGAACCAGAGAGTCTCCAGCCTTGTGAGGTTTCGGGATAACGCAATCGACGCTTCTTCGACTGTGGCGTAAGGGATCATTGTTCCTTCCGGCGACGGCGACGGCGAGATTGAGATTGAGATCGAGAGAGTGGAGAAGAGAGAGTGTCGTCGTTGAGGCTGCTGGATTTTTTCTGTTATAGACTGATCTGGCGAATATTCAGAGTGTTGACGTGGCATTAACGTTTGGTAACAAATGTGTGTGAACCGGATTAAACCAAGATCACTAACATTGTCTCAAGATCTCGACTACAACATAAAAAGAAGGGAAACAATGGGCCCTACTAAAAGCCCATTTGAAATGCGGCCTATTCTACTACACTAAACTAATAGTGAGGTGTTAATTTTAGCTCAATAAAAATGACTACATCTAAATGTGTGTTTGATCTATGGGTGTCAAAATAGGTCAAGATTCATGGGTCAACTTTGATCCCTTAGTTTTTTTTTTTTTTTTTAATTATTATTCCCTTAGTTTATGTCTTGTATGTGAACTTTTAGATAAAATTATTGTTAACAAAACTTTACTTTTAGCTCTATAAATGTGAACTAAATCCTTGTGTTATTTGTTTTTTTATGACTTAATAAAACAAAACAAAATTTACATAGAATAATAATTATTTGCGGATCAAAATTCATATATCTTCTCGAACTAAGGATCGTAACATGGCGTTGAAAATTTCGGAATGGATTTAGTTACCAAAACTCAACTAAAGTTTCTCCGACTGAGGATCATAACACGATGTTGAAAATTTTGGATCGAAATTCATACATCTTCTCGGACTGAGGATCATAACATGGTATAAACACCAACTCCATATCACATAGCCTTTTCTTTGTTTGAATTGGGTTTTCTTTCTTTAATTGTCTTAATGGTTACACAAATTTCTTTTAAGTCTTTTAGAAAGAAACTTTACTTTATACTTGGTCAAAAACCTTAAGATAAATCAGTATTTGAGGGAAAATTCACGGATAGACACAGCTTTTGTGGAATATGTCTATGAATTTTAAGATAGCATTAAATTATTGTACAATACACATAGCAAAACGTTGAAATAAATTGCGGCTGTTGGCCAATTGTATTTAAGTAATAGAATGGTACCTCACGAAACGTGACGTTACCTTTGAAATTATAAAGTCTTACTATTTTTTCGTCATGACAATAAATGATATTTAAATGTTAATACATATGTTTTAACTATACATAAAAAATGGTCACAAACGATCTTGGTGGTGGATAACAAGTGCGTTACGCGTGAAGATGAGTGCGTATGTCATAAGAGAAAGTCGACGTCTCTGCCCCTAGAGGTAAGGTAGACAAATGTCAAGGGTCCGTTTCATAAAAAATTTTTAAGAAAAAAAGTCCAAATTTTTTTTTTTTTTAATTACTAAGAGGGTTTTATTTTTTTTTTGGTTTGCCATAGATCTCATTATATATTAAAACGGTACTGACCACACCATTAATAACTTTAAATCAAGCCCAAACGTTCTTTCTTTTAACAGTGAATACAAACCTCGGACCAATCTCAGCCACACAAATACTCTTTCATGTTATGTTATTTTCTTGACGTTGATGAATCTTGTTTTTGTTTATAATTTTATATTATTTCCATCACTCAGCACTTTCGTAAATATAAATGAATTGATACTAACCCTTGTTTGAAAAATCGCTAGGCGCTAGTCGGGCGCTCGGCATGGGCCTAGCGATTAATCGGAAAATCGGATTAAAATCGGGGATTAATCGGGGATTAGTTTTAGGCTTATTTTAATATTTTTAAAATATATTAATCCAATATTGTAAAAATTTATGATTTTTATTACAAATTTATGATTTTTATTAAAATTTGAACACAAGTTATTGTAAAACATCACAAACTCTCCATTCAAATGATTGAATAACAAAAATAAAAAGTTTTTTTATACTTGCAATCTAAAAAATAATCGGGGTATATAAGATTAGGCGGAAAGTAATCGGATTAGGCGGAGAATAATCGGGTTACTGATTTTTTAGGGGATTAGTCATTAATCGAGGCGGATAGGGTGGGCCTAGCGATTAAGCGGAGAGTAATCGGGGCTAGGCGGGGATTTTTAGAACAGGGATACTAACTAGTTGAGTCCGTCTCCTCTCTCTATTTGTTTATGTTTTTCATTTGTTTTTAAAAAAAAACATTTCATTTGTTTATGTGCTTCTCACTATCACCTTAGATTTTGTTGTGAATTTCACGAAATTTGTTTGGGTTTCTCGTTTTCTTGTTTAACGTGTCAACTTTTCTACAAATCCTATAATTTTGCTTCCTTTACACTTTATAGGATTGTGAGTCTCTCAAGTAATCTTGTCAAAATGCATCAAGAAATTGATATTAATTTGTACAAGTATATTTTTGCCTTTTTCCAACACATTTTTTTTTATCAATAAGTAGTGCTACAATTTTTTATCTAATACAGTGCTACACAATTCAACGCATTTCTAATTAACTATAACAAAACACAAATACGTAAGAATCAGCATAAGATATCAAACTATAATAGAATAATGTCGACAGGAAAAATAAATATCATAGTACAAGAACCACGCCTATATTACTAGTACTATTTACCTTTAATCGTATTTTTTTTTTGGCCGGCTTGAATTAAAATGCTAAAAAGCCACAATACGTGAGAGAGAGAAGAAAAAAAGTTATTATTAGAAAAATATTTGAAAAATACAAATGAAAGAAAACAAGATAAAAGAGTAAAGCAAAGCAAAAGCAGAGAATAACTCTTATTCGCTTCTTTGCCAAGCAATCCCCCAAAACCTCTCAATTTCTTTCTTCTTTCTCCTCCTCAAGCAAAGATCATCATCTCACGAAATGTCAGATTCAATTCACCGGAGAAAAGTTCCGACTCCGGTCGGAAATGGAGGTCGGAGCTCCAGGACGAGACGAACAGCTTTCCGATATGTTTCCGACAAGAATAGTCTCTCTAAATCGAGTAATAAGGTTTTTGAACGAAGCTTCTCAGAACCGAGTCTAAATCGTCGCCGCGATGGAGACAGTAATCACTTGCGACGACCATCGCCGATGAGAGGTTTACCACTGGAAGAATCCGAACCGATCGTTTACTTGCCACGGATTCGCTCTGAGGTTTTCGCTTCTTCTCCGTCGTTGTTGAACTTCTCTTCGCCGTCGTCTTTATCTCCGATCAATCAAGAGGTCAGAGTCGTTTTCTACTATTTTTTCAAATCAACAAATCCATGATTTCAACTCTGTACAAGAATTCAACATTTAGTCCACGAATATTTTGAAAGTTTCTAATTTAAACCTAATATTTTAAAACATTTCAATCTAACCCTTATTTTTAACAGAGAGTTTAGGTAAGCTATAAATTCTATTAGTGTCAGTTCTTCAATTCACGAAATCAGATCCTGAGAAAGATACTAAAATTTGAACTTTCGAGTAAGTTCCAAAAACTATAAATTTATTTGACTTTAATTGGAAACAAAATCAGGGTAATACAAAAGAAGCACCAAAAGTAGTAATCAGTGTAGCAGTAGAAGGAAGTCCTGGACCTGTAAGAGCAATGGTTAAATTGAGTTGCAACGTCGAGGAAACGATCAAAATTGTCGTGGACAAATACTGCAAAGAAGGACGAACTCCAAAACTCGATCGAGATTCTGCTTTTGAATTGCATCAGTCACATTTTAGCATTCAGTGTAAGATATAACACAGCTCTATCCAACTTTCATTTTTTTTGGATATAGAAAAAAAAATTCCCAATGATATTCTGGTTAAAATTTGAATCAGTTGTTTTCAGTTTGATGTATATTAGATTTGATTAAATATCTATGCTATAGAATGATTATGGAAAATATCAAAAAATACTCATGGATCATGTGAAACAAAGAAACATCATATAATTCATGAGTTAATAACTTATAATAAAGAAAATGGTGACGTAACTGATGATTTACCTCTCTTTTTGTCACATAATTAAATGGTTAGACAATCAAATATACTTAAGTTGATGTAATTTTCAGGTTTGGAGAAAAGAGAAATAATAGGAGAAATAGGAAGTAGAAGCTTCTACATGAGAAAGAAAGCTCATGAAACCGAAGGTTCGTTTGTCGGGACTACTCCGGTGAGAACTACCCTAATTTCGTCGTCGAATTTGATCGGATCGTACATTGCTCAGTTAATAGGGAAAATCATGAGGAGAACAAGACAGATATGGAACATATTGGTCTGTGTGCAATGAGATAGAGACCAAAGTACACTTTTGAGCGTGGGACATAATATTTTTAGTTTGTATTTGCTCCAAATCTCATCAAATAAGGCCTTACTTTATGAAAGTATAATTTATAGATGATCAAGTACATTTTTTTTTTTTCGGTAAGAGAGGGGGAGACAATTGTCTCCCACATTTGATTAAGAATAAACTATAAAAGAATTACAAACGAACATGATGTGGCATTCTGTCCCAACCGCATCCACTAGCATAATCGAATGGACTACCCTAAGACAAGAATAAAAAGAATGAAAACTTAACTGCAAAAAAAACACATAGTTCGCTAATCCGTCTGCTAGACGATTAGTCTCCCTATACACATGAGTAACCCGGACTATCCAGTCCCTTGAGAAAAAAGCCATGACACAATCATACCAGGAATGCCAGCAGATGAGCATCACTTATCCCTGACTTTAGAAAACCCCACCACCAACTCCGAATCCACCGCCAGTTCTATCCGCCTAAAGCCCCGCTCCTAGGCCAATAAGCAGGCCATAATAGACTCCCCACAATTTTGGCAATAGAACCGAGCAAATGCCAATATGGAGCGCAAATCCGCCCGACCAACACCCTGCTCCTTCTCGGATGACTCCTCCAGCCGACGCCGGGCCCGTTTTCCCCCAACTAGCTCCATTCGTAGAAACTTTGACCTAGTCTTCCTCCGGCTTCTTCCATGAAACTATTGTCTACACTCTCCATGCGGCATGTGTATCAACCAACACCAACATAGGAGCTTTCAAGACCTCCATAACTAAGTCCTTAAGAAAGAGCACTCGATCTTTACACTTACCGATCTCCCTAAACACATACCTACACCTCTAGTTCCACCCTACCACACCGCAATACTAAACAGTGTCGACCAATCCCCCGTACTTCAGCCCGACCTGCCCCCCCAAATTCTCGAACAACCATTCTAGTAGCGACTTTTCGAAGAAAGCTTGTCTTTCTTAAGGCGGTACTAAGCACATCCAAATACCCGCCCTTATCGGGCTGTATCTCAAGATATGTATTATGGACTCAAAATTTCCTTTACACACTTGACAAACCTCATTATCTCTGATATGTCGTATCACTCTCTCCACATTTGTCATTATCACCTGGTGACTCACAAGCCAAAAGAAAACCTGGATTCTCTCAAGTGCCACCACTTTTCATATCCACTTAAAGAAGCGCTCCATACATGGTTAAGGTTCATCCTCCTGCCTCAACAACGTGTATGCGGAGCTGACTGTAAACTCACCACTCGGGTTCCCTTGCCACGAAATCGTATCTCTCAAGCCCATCAATCCCTTAATTACCATTGCATTTAAACGGTGAGTAACATTCTCCGGTAAAACCTGACCCAGGTGTGCCAAAACCAGCTTGTACCCTCAGACCAATACTCCTCGACCCTTGTCTCCATATCAATCAAATCTAGTTGTCATGAAGCCCGTGACAACAACGGTTCTCCCAACGAATTTTTTTTTCCTTTTTTGGCAAATGGGTTTCAACTTTCAAGTTTTGTGAGAGCACCTCCATTAGTGATAAATGGAGTGTCTTCTTTTATTTTTTAATATTAGATTAAAGACACTCATCAAGAATGAGAAACAAAAACGTCTTTAACAAGACACTTAAGCCCTTATTGAAGACACTCTTAAATTTTGTGTCATATTTTGATTGGTTCTAATTTTTTTAGATTAATATTTAATAAATAAAATTAATTAAAGACATTTTTAATGGCGTTGTGTGATGAGGATGGTCTAAGGGATATTACGTTAAGGATTTTTTTTTGGTAAGTGGACGGGAGACTATGTCTCCCGTCCAGGATATTACGTTAAGGATATCCCTTATTTTCTAAGGGATATTACGTTAAAGATATTACGTTAAGGATTGAATGTAGTTAATTGTACCTGATCTGAATATCAGGAACTAATTTTTGTTTATTATCCGTATTCGCTCGTCTTTGATATCTTGTTTTCCGGATCGATCAGATCGTAGCAAATCCTAAATCATGTATATTAGCTCCATGGCTAGTTACAACACTACAATTATAGTTACAACACATTATTTCAAAGATTTGTTGTGGAATCTCTCCAGAAAGATCGAAGATTTTGAAACTATGGAAGTAGCCTAGGAAGTAAAGCTTGTGATCCTTGTAAACCATACCGAAACAATCTAGAGTTTGGGGGATTTGATTGCACGAGGTATCTCCTTTCTTGGAATAAAATACACACCAATCCATAAGTCCCCAAACAACAACATAATCTTTGGTTTTCTCGTTAATCCAAAACACAGGGTATCGTATATTCCTACCAACGTATGGTTTATACCTACAACCAGGGCCGGCTCAAAAAAATTAAGAACCCTGAGCTGAAAAAAACAGTTGGTCCTAATTTCTTATGTATATATATAAAAAAAAAAATTTGGACCCTAATTTTAATAAATTTAGTTGAAAAAAAAGACAAAAAAAATTTGGGACCCTGTGCATGAGCACTCCCCGCACATGGGGAGAGCCGGCACTGCCTACAACCGTACAATAGTTGGCATATTCATTTCATCATTTGGTAGGTAGATTTTCTATCGTTCCATGTGTTGCGAATTTTAGAATATGTTAACAAACTTTAGTGTTAGTAGAGGTTTTTTTTTTTTTTTTTTAATGACTAAGAGGTTCTCGGCCTAAGACCAGAGCATTTTATATGGTCCCCTCTCAAGTGCCACTCGAACCGACGATCTTTAGGTTTTGTCTAAAAGTTTTTACCACTTCAGCTATTGACACTTGGTAGATTTAATATCTTCATTTCAATCGTTTGCTTCCTCTATATTATATGGCCATGATCATGATCATCTCAACACGATCAAGTAATTTGGATATATTTATGTTTATCAAAGCATATAAATTAAGTTTTGATGTTGAAAGAATGTTAATGGGTTCGGAAAATTAGTGGAAACACGTATGTTAAAATCTTTTATTCAAAATCAGCACTGAAAGAACACATAATATTGAAGAGAAAAACGTAGTTGAGATCAACATCATGTAAGCGTGAAACTAGGTACGAACCATTGAGCTCTAGAGAATTGAAATGAAAAACTATCAAATGTGTGCAGCGGCTCCGTCTTACGTGTCTCAAGATTGAAGATAAACATGTCGGTTGCGTGCTTTTGATAAGCATTATTGAAATAGATGGAATTTCTAATGAATCCATTAGTGTCATTGGCGGACACAGTGATGCCTTGATCCAAAAGAATTGACTCATCTCCCAGAGAATTAATCCGTCTTCCTGAAGAAATATCGAAAACCTGGAAGCAGCAGTCCCTCTTCACTCTTTCAACCTTGAGGGATTTTCCTGTGAGTGTGACTACAAGTGTTGTGGCCCAAACGCCCCGTCCACGTAAGGAACTACGGTCTACGAAAACACTCCATTCAAAGATTTGTTGTGGAATCTCTCCAGAAAGATCGAAGATTTTGAAACTATGGAAGTAGCCTATGAAGTAAAGCTTGTGATCCTTGTAAACCATATCGAAACAATCTGGAGTTTGGGGGATTTGATTCCAAGAGGTATCTCCTTTCTTGGAATAAAATACACACCAATCTCTAAGTCCCCAAAGAACAACATAATCTTTGGTTTTCTCGTCAATCCAAAACACAGGAGATCGTACATACCCACCTCTGGACTTCATTCGTCCTTTGCGACTTGAAACGCCTAACTCATAACCTTCCCACAATAACTCCACGGGAAGTAGATTGATCCTCTCGCGGGTAAAGAGATTCACAATGTAGAGAGTAAACAGAGGATCTTGCATAAGGAGCCAACTTCCATAGGTTGCCCTACAAATACTCTTTGCAAATTCCTCACCAACATCTTGCGTTTTGTAAAGTTTGTCTTTTTCATCGGGATTGAACAACGTGCATGAATTGTTATCATTGTTTTCTTCGGGGAAGAGAATGAGCCAATGGATCTGATTTGTGGGCACGGATTGTCTCGAAGCAGAGTACCAAGACGAACACACGGACTTGGCTCGGTTGAAATTAGCAAAACTTAGGCATTCAAACACCGAACTCAAGAGATCTAGAGGAAGCTCCGACCAGGATTTGGGTGTAACTCGCCTGAGACGCTCATGAGAATTAGGGTTTTGCTTCTCCTCTATCTCCATGGAAAACTCAAAATTGAGAGATTTTTGTTACAAATAATCGAGATGATTGAATTGTTTTCTCTAAGCCTCAGAAGTTCCGTATTAATACAAAACAAAACCAGACCGTCATGTATTATATGGGCTTTGATTGGCCCAGTCCATATAACCCGCCGGTCACCCACTGTGCCATTAGAGGCACTTCACTAAGTTGACAAAAAAAAAAAAGATTGCATATAAAATAGTAAAGATGAGAAAAACGTTTCCAGGTTTCTCGGAATATGTGTTTATAATTAGAATTTAACCCGCGGGGCTATATTTTTTTTTAAAAATGTAATGATATTTTTTAAAATATTAACGGAAGATATATCATATTAGTTTGTATTTTTAAATGTAGATATCTATCTATGTATTATTTAGTGTATGATTACTATTGTTTAGGTTTCAATTTTTGAAGTATAGATACGAAAACATACATTTTTTTAAGTAACGATGTATGGTCAATTTTAAAATTTTGAATATTTTACTCCGCGGTATACTGTGGGTCGATTTTTTTTATAACTAAAATTTTAAATTTTAAGTTGTATTTGTTTTGTTAATATTGTATGTTTTGTTTTGTGTTTAAAGTTGTATAATTGTATTTTTATTGTTAATTTTAGGATTTCATCCGTGATATACCGTTCTTTATTAATATCGACTCAAACCTGTCATCCCATATAAACCCATCTATATTATCCCGTTAGCTAAATTATTAGTTTTATAAAATCCAAGAAAATAAATTATTATTGTTATAAAATCCAATAATTTCAAGATCTCACATGTGGTATACCGTTCCTTGAATGATTTTAAATTTATACTACTAATATATATTTTAAATTTATCATATAAATTATATGATTTTTCTATGTGAATATTTTGATTATTATAAATTAGTAGTTTTATTGTTATGCAAAATGTTAATATAAATATTTGCTATAAATCGGTTTTATGCATATTTTGTAGAGTAAAATTCACAGAATTTTTTTTGAAGATATATGGAAAGATTGTGTATAGATTTTTAGAAACAAATTAGGCAAGATATCGTTTGGTTAATATCTTTTATTTAAATTTTGTAAAACTAAATAATAAATGTTAATTACATGGACTCGTAAATTAGGTGGAATTTCAGGATTTATTTCATATTTGTACTTCAAAAATGTATATATAGATACTCCGAGAAATAAGTAAAATGAGAATAACGTTATCAAGTTTTCTTGGAGTACGCTTACTCATCTCTCTCCCGAATTATTAGACAACATATAATATAACGGAAAATAATGATAAAATACACAATCCTCGAAACTATAAAATTTACAAACATAAAAAATTATAATATAACAAAAATTTGATTTTCTTAAATAACTTCTTATGCTTTTTTTATTTATTTAGAAACGTTTATGAGTAGACATTATCAAAGGATCCATATGAAGCCCAATATAGTGTCTCATGTGTAGTCCAAAAGCCCATGTAATGGTCCATGTAACTAGGGTTCTTAGCAAGATAGTGACTCATATATATGGGAAAACGGCATTTTTTAACCTCAACTATTTGCTGGCGGATTTTTCCAACCTAAACTATGACCCCCAGTCGATTTCAACCCGAACCCAGAAATAATACAAAATCAAAACCTAAACTAATGTAAATGAGCCGATTTCAACACGACGTGAAACAATGTTAGTTGGGAAGTTAACAGTTTCAAAGTTATTTGATTTTATTTTCAAGGTTTGATGAATGTTGTAGAGAGAGAATTACCCAAGGTTGAGTAATCGTTAACTTCCGAACTAACACCGTTCCGCGTCGTGTTGAAATCGGCTCATTTGCATTAGTTCAGGTTTCGATTTTGAATTAATTTTGGGTTTGGGTTGAAATCGACTAGGGGTAATAGTTTGGGTTGGAAAAACCCGCCTGCAAATAGTTGAGGTTGAAAAAGGCCGTTTTCCCCTCATATATATAGTCATGTAATGAGAACTTTGTTAACTTTGAGAGTTGTCTCAAAACAACTCTCCTTCTCCATTTTTATAAAAGTATCAATCATTGAATCATTGTGTTCTTGGTGACAATCTAAAGTTTTTTCATTACATGACTATATATATGAGTCACTATCTTGCTAAGAACCCTAGTTACATGGACCATTACATGAGCTTTTGGACTACACATGAGACACTATATTGGTTTCATATGGATCCTTTAATAGACATAATAGTTTTTAAGATTTAAAATAGTTCAACTATCTATATTTAATTCGACCAAACTATTTGGCATGTCACTTTGTGGTGAACTCATGGCTCATGATCTTTTGCTCTTCACCATTTTAATTGCCCCAAGTCCCGGTTCAACTATTCATGTGTTCTTGAAACAGTTAGGTGATATATTGTTAAATTAGAGAGATAAAGAGATTGGTTTGTTAAACGTTTTCACCACTCCAACCACTATAACCATCACCATTCACCACTATCAAAACAACCACCACGCCGTTACCACTACCACCGCTATCACCAATTTTTGAAATAGTAAATTCTAATTTATATATACAATTTTTACACATATATATTAGGTTTGGGTATAATTTTTTTTTGGTTTAGCATTTAGTATATTAAAACTAAAATTGATTTACGAATGATTTATGAAAATAGTACAGTACAACATTTTATTCCTTATACATCATAGATAGTACAACATATTTTTACTTATAAATAATATTCACCGTTTATAAATTCACATACGATTTTAAAAATTCGACTTATGCCGTATGTAGAAAAAACCACACATTTCACAAATCAATAAACCCCTAGGTATTATTGATTTGTAAATCCATATAAAATTTGAAAAGTTTTATTAATTATGAAATATAGATATATGGATTTTGAAATAAATGTGAAGACTCATGGATTTGAATCCTTTGGATTTTTAATAGGATTTTCATTAGTAGTTAGTATAAATTATAGAACCAATAACGTATTATTTTAATCATGATTTTATAGACCCTTTCAAAAACCAAAGAAAATTAAATTTTGATTTACACAAATTAATATGATTCTTCGTCTTGTGCAGAGAAGTGGCCGTCGCTATCGCCGCCGACGCCTCACAGTCGGCGACCCGTAGTTCTCACAGTGTTTCACTCAAACTCCTCCGACTCCTCTCTCAATTTTTTTCCAAGCAAGCTTCTTCAATCTTCCTCGTGTGGTTTTTTCAAAGGTCTCTCTCCATCTCCGATTAGAACGGAGTGAGGTAGAAGATTCCTCTCATTCTCTTTTAGAAACCTTATCTATATTACTTGGTAGAGTGATTTCTTGGAATTTGGGTTTTTGGGTGAAATCAGTTGAATATAGAGTTGGTTTCTGAAATGTTGGATTCTAGGCTGAGATTCTTCCTTGAAAGATGTGTAGTGATTCAACAGGCAAAGCAAGTTCATGCACAGTTAGTAGTGAACCGTTATAACCATCTTGAACCCATCTTGGTTCACCAAACTCTTCACTTCACTAAAGAGTTCTCTAGAAATGTTGTCAACTATGTCAAAAGAATCCTCCACGGGTTTAAGAGTTCCAAAGGTATGGATTCTTTCTCTTGGGGATGTCTTGTTCGGTTCTTGAGTCAGCATAGGAAGTTTAAAGAAACGGTTGGCGTCTACATCGAAATGCATTATTCTGGGATTCCTCCTAGTTCACATGCTATAACCTCAGTGTTGAGAGCTTGTGGTAAGATGGAGGATATGGTTGATGGCAAACCGATTCATGCTCAGGCTCTTAAAAATGGATTGTGTGGTTGTGTTTATGTTCAGACAGGTCTGGTGGGTTTGTACTCTAGATTCGGTTACATTGAGATGGCAAAGAAGGTATTTGATGATATTGCAGAGAAGAACACAGTTTCGTGGAACTCGCTTTTACACGGGTATCTGGAAAGTGGGAATCTAGATGAAGCTCGCAGAGTCTTTGACAAGATTCCAGAGAAAGATGTTGTGTCATGGAATCTGATTATATCGAGCTATGCAAAAAAAGGTGACATGAGCAATGCATGCTCTTTGTTTCTGACGATGCCTTTGAAAAGCTCGGCTACTTGGAATATTTTGATTGGCGGGTATGTGAATTGCAGGGAAATGAAACTAGCAAGAACCTATTTCGATACAATGCCCCAGAAGAATAGTGTCTCTTGGATTACAATGATTTCAGGGTACACAAAATTGGGAGATGTTCAGTCTGCTGAAAAGCTCTTCAGACAGATGTCTAGGAAAGACAAACTCGTCTATGATGCCATGATTGCTTGTTATGCTCAAAACGGCAAGCCAAAGGATGCTCTGAAGCTATTCTCTCAGATGCTTGAAAGTAATTCAGATATTCAACCGGATGAGATCACACTCTCAAGTGTTGTATCAGCTAGTTCACAGTTGGGTGATACCAGTTTTGGTACATGGGTTGAGTCATATATAACCGAACATGGAATCAAGATCGATGATCTTTTAAGTACCTCTCTAATTGATCTTTACATGAAAGGCGGAGACTTTGCCAAGGCATTCAAATTGTTCAACGATCTAATCAAAAAGGACACAGTTTCTTACTCTGCTATGATCATGGGCTGTGGGATAAACGGCATGGCCACAGAAGCGAACTGTTTGTTTAGAGAGATGATCGAAAAGAAGATCCCTCCAAATCTAGTAACATTCACAGGACTATTATCAGCGTATAGCCATTCAGGTCTTGTTCAAGAAGGCTACAAATGCTTTAACTCCATGAAAGACCACAACCTAGAACCCTCCGCTGATCATTATGGGATAATGGTGGATATGTTGGGACGAGCCGGGAGGCTAGAGGAGGCATATGAACTGATCAAGAGTATGCCGATGCAGCCAAATGCTGGAGTTTGGGGAGCGTTGCTTTTAGCCAGTGGGTTACACAACAACGTGGAATTTGGAGAGATTGCGTGCAGTCACTGCGTTAAACTGGAGACCGATCCTACGGGTTATCTTTCGCATCTTGCTAATATATATACGTCTGTTGGTAGATGGGACGATGCAAGGAATGTTAGAGATAGTATGGAAGAGAAGAAACTGCGTAAGACACTTGGGTGTAGCTGGGTTGAGGGTTCATATCATTGAGATCTCGGGGAATACATATTTTGGTTTCAGGATATACAGATTTCGGTTTAGGATCATCAATCCACATCGGTCTGAAATCAACTTGCGCTGATTTGGGTAAACCAGAATGTGTAGCCGGTAAAGAGATTAGGGATCAGCTTCTACATCCAAGAGTAGAAGAAACCGAATAAAAATTTGGAAATATAACCTTACATGACAAACCTACATCAGACCTAAACCTTGAGAGTCTGCGTGTGGAACAGAGGATTGACGATTACTTTGAGAAAGAAAATCACGTTGATGTCATGAGAGGGCTTGTGTCGTGAATCAGAAGGTAAAGACGGTGTCCATGTACTGACTGGGAGAGAAGACGGTGTGGGACAGATGGTTTGATGCTCAACAACATTCGAAGAGGTTGGCCTTGGAGAAGACATGATTAGCGTGTCATTGGCTAGCCCTGATGGACGTGTAGTAGGCAGTGGTGTCGCTGGCCTGCTGGTTGCAGCCTCTCCTATTCATGTGGTTGTATGAAGTTTTATAGCCGGCAGCAAGATCAGAGACCGAAGCAGCAGAATCACAACATGTCGTCTCCAATGCCAACCACAATTGCAGCATGTAAACTGAAAACAGTACCTTATGTTAATAGCTTCCTTGAACTGTCCTTTCAGCTTAAAGACCCCACTTAACCATTAGATTATAGCACAGATACGACTGAAGAAGAAAAACAAAATCTAGCCACTATGAAAGATACAGTGCACTACTACAGTGGCTTCTTTAAAATTGAAATCAAGTCCAAAGCAGTCACCGATGATCACTCTAATGCTTCACTAGACTGGTGATAGGTGATTCGGATGGTGTCAATCTCCCACATAACGACCATCCAGGCATCCACCACATCCAAAGCAATAAACTATATTTATTTATAAGTATTAAAATAATAACTAAACAAATACGAAGCATGGGCGGTGATAAATGAGTTTTTATGTGTTTTAGATATTATTCTGATAACTATAACTATAAAATATAATTTCTCAGTTTATTAATTAGGATGTGGTGGATGGTTGTGAAGTACCTCTCTGATCGATCTTTAAAAATGAAAGGCAGAGACTTTGCCCAAGAGAATGTGTAGCTGGCCGGTTAAGAGATTGGGGAACAGGATTCACTTTCTAAAGAGCTGAAGAAACCGAATAGAAAAGTTGGAATAACAATCCTAAGTTACAGACCAACATAACACCTAAACCTTGAGAGTCTGACATGTAGAGCCCTAATCTGGAAACCAAAATACAGAGGATCTACGGGTTCTTTAAGGAAGAAATCACGTCAAAGTGATGTTAAAGTCATGAGAGAGCTTGTGTCTTGGATCAGAAGGAAAAGACGGTGTCCATGTACGGATCGGGAGACTAGATGGCATGGGACGGATGGTTCGATGATCAGCTACATTCGAAGAAGTTGGCATTAATGGAGAAGACATGAAGTTGTGGTTCTGCTGCTTCGGTCTCTGATCTTGTTGGTTTGTTCCGGCTAAGAAACTTCCTACAACCACCTGAATAGGAGTAGCTGCAACCAGCAAGCCAGCAACACCACCACCTACTACACGTCCATCAGGGCTAGCCAATGACACGCTCATCCCGCCTGTTCTACTTCGTGTCCCATCCGAGTCACTAGGCATGAATGTTCCGGACAGTGACAATATCTCAAACCGACCCTTTAAAAACAGCATAAGCATTCGTCAAGATCAACAAAGAATTACATGAAAACAAAAAGCAAGGAAGAGGCATTCCTGTTCGATTGTTTCAATTTATGGTTACAATTAATAAAATTTGGTTTGATTTTGGTTTGGTTGTTTGGTTACAGTCATTTTCATCTATCCAACAAGAGAGATTGAGATTGAAACCATACCTCATAGGTCAATGTACCACCAGATGAATGAGGCTGACGAAGTGTAACACTAGAAACGACACCGTTTGCGCATAAAACGCAAATAGCTAGAGACCCTTGTTGAGAAAATGATATTATCCTCTTCGTTACGTCCTATAAAACCAAATTGCCCACTACTAAATCATTAAGTACTACTCTTAAAATAAACACATTCTTAATCTGTGTATACATATTGTCATATTGTCCTAATTACCTCGCCTGCGTTGACCGTAATAATATGCGGCGTGAAATTAGCGGCAGCAGAGGAAGGAGCCCATTCACCTTCACAAGCACAACAATTACACCACCAAAAATCTCCCCAATAAACATGCAATTATTATTATACCGTATATATATATATATATTTATACGTATAATTGACCGTATATGTACGGACAAAAAGTTGTAATAAGAGGTCCCACTTGGAAGTAGAAGCTTTTTCTTTCTTTGCATGTTTTAACTTAAGACCCAGAAAGATCCCAAAAATCTCTTTTAAACAATTTTTTTAAGTCACGCGAGAACTCAAGATTCAGTCTAAACGAAACATAGATTTTGACAAAAGATTAACCAAAAAATGAAAAAAAAATTATTACCTAAATTCTCGACCTGGTACTTTGGTCTGATGAAGGAGCTTGGAGTTGCTGGTTTCATTTTGCCACGTTTCTCCGCTGTCGTCGAGAAATCGATGACATGAGAAGTCGTTGGTGCGGCTGTTGATATCGGATTCGGTGAAAGCGTCACCGCTGCTCCGTCGTGTCTGTACTTCCTAGGGCGTCCACGCCTCTTCTTTATCGGTCCGCTTGAGAAACCATCCATCGCCGCCGGCGGAGTAAAGGATTTTTGCGGCGGTGGAGGAGGAGGAGGAGCGACGGAGGTGGGAGGTGGGTTTGAAGTTTCTGATCTTGGAGCCATGTGGAAGTCTGACGGCGCGTTGGATCTCACCACCGTAACGCCACCGTCGCTCCCGGTGGTTGTTTTCACAACTTCTCCGGTAGACTCCATATCTTTAGCGATTTAAAAAAAAAAAAAAAAAAAACTTTTTGACAAACCTAAAATAGATTTTGGAAGAAGAAGACTTAATTTTTCCAAATCCAAAGCTTAAACCAAAAGAAGAACAAAAATATTATTTATAAAAAGGTTGAAAATCAGATTAAAAATCAAAGAGGAAGAAGAAATACATGAGACTATGAGAGTATATTTTCTTGTATATATTATTTCTTAGAATTAAAGCTAGGAAAATTATTAAGATGGAATTAGGAAATGTTTGATAGGAAAGTGAGGAAATTTAGATTTATTTATGCTGTGTGGTTTAGATGAAAAAAGAAAATAAATATTTTTTTTGACAGCAATGAATATTTGATTTTGAATTTGGAAATTAAAAAAAAAAAGACGTTTCCTTATATATTTTAATATTATTTCAGGCTTTTAGTTCATTTCCTTCCTAACTTTTTCCTTGTCTGTCCGTTTAAATTTAATATTGAATAAAGTAATACGAAAAGAAAATGTATTGTTTTCGTGAAAAGGAAATGTATTTAATAGGGGCGTTATAATACAACTCACAATAATTTATATTTTACTTCGAGAAAATAATATCTTTTTGTCATATATAGAAATTGGAATTCGTGTTTTTGCTGGAATCCGATGGAGAAAATTAATAAATTAAAAGAGAGAATAAATAATAAATAGTAAGTAGAAGAAAAGAAAAACGGAAAGTGGGTGATACTAATTTCTTTGTTTTTAATTATTTTTTTAGTCTTTTCTGTTTTTTAAAATAAAAAGGTGGCCTGCAGATAAGACTTGTTTTTTTTTTTGTCATTCTTTTGCGGTGTTTTTATATCATTGTTGTTTTAGAAAATGATTTTTGCAAAAAAGTAACGTAAAATACTAGACGACACAACTAAGGTAAATATTGGCTTCTAAGTAAGTAATTTCACTTCTAAGCTAACCAAAAAAAAGAGCGATTTGCATTTCCTCCAAAGTTATATGTTGGTTAAGAAAGCCACAGTATTCCTTTTTAAAATCTACTTCAGCAAATTGTGTCGATTAACAAACAACTCTACTCGGAATTGTGTCTATTTTGAAACTAAATCTTGAACTCAAAAAAATAAATCTAAATACAAACATTAAAACTCATCTCAAACTCTGAATAACATGTTATAATGTGCACATCTTTCAGAGTCATAATATTATGTCAAAGAGTTACATAAAATGTGATTAGGTAATTGTGCAACATGCAAGAATTACTAGTTGACTAGATTTTGTTTCTTAAATATAAGACTATGAGTTAATGGAAAGGGCCCAAATATTATTAGTTTGGGCCTCATAAGCCTTATATAAAAGTCCACTTACACTATTAATTTACTTTCATGTGTGTATGTATATATAATGCGAAGTTGCGAACCCAACTTTAACCGGCGGGTATATGGCAACATGTCAGAGAAAACCGGGTTGGTGCATAATTCAGATTCAGAAGTCACGTGTTTTGCTTTTATTGGTCAATAATGCTTAGCTGTTTGATTTTGGTTTTAAAGCCAACAGTAAAGTTTGATTCTCTTAACTTCTTATTGGATGGTTTTTCTAAATTAGTTCATAAAGAACTGTACACAACATACAAGTACAGGTACGATTTTGCCAGTTTTCAAATGTTTGTTTGACTTCATTCAATTTTCAACAATAATACTGCCTTCATTTCTAAGAAATAATACTATTTATACGAACCATTAGAGCATCCACAATGGTAAACTAGGGTGGGTGTGTTAGTGGGATTTTATTAATAAAATAATGTAAGAGTTGAAGTTTAGAAATAAGGTGTTAGGAGTTAATTATTGGTAGAACCTGTTTCTTAGGAATAGTTTAATAATATAATTAAGTAATTCATAAAACATTTTTTTAAAATTAAAAATAACATTTAAATTAAAAACATAAAAACAAACATATATATGTATTACCAATATTGAAGGAAAATGAATGAATTACCAAACATTCATACTATAAGTAATCTTCCTTGATGTTCAATGCATTGCTGGAGTTTCCCATCAGAAGACACAACTAGTCCTCTTACTTTTGCAGGTTTCGTTTTGTGTTTAATTTGGAGTTTTGGCATAGTCTTAATACAATTATGATCATCTTCTGAGTTTATCTGTTTCTCCCCTTCTTCCAAAAACTCAACCGCAACATCTCCATCTTCATCAACCCTTAGCCGTTTCACATACCAACTTAGCCCCTGAATAAATACATGAGGAAAACTATAATATAAGTGTGTGGTAGAACCAATATCCAAAAAGATAACGCAAAGCTCTTAACTAAGAAAAGTTCACTACTAATCGAGTGAACTAAATAGCTAGACAATCAAACATTAGAAAATCAAAGTAACAGGAGAAACCATAGGAGTAACAACAAAAACACAAGTGATACCGAGTCGTTGTCTAATGTCATAGCAAAGACAATGTGAACCTTTTTAGAGGCTATGATTATAGTTTCACTTCTAATACATACATATACTCTTTATTACCCGCTTTCAATCTCCCCATTAACACAAAGACCATATAACACAAAAACCATAAGTGCAAGTGCAGCAGCTCCACGCTTTGTTTTGTGTGCGAATCATACTTCAAAATCAAAACACAACAACAACAATCACTCACAAAGCTAAAATCATCAATTCAAAAACATTGAATCATTTGACATTTGATATTACTTATCAATTAAAATCAAACATAACAACAATGACTCACTCAGCCAAAATCATCATCTATTCATTGATATGCATGCACCTATCCGACATGATTCATTTTCATCCATGACTATTACACAATGCACATAACATCAACTTAAGAAATTTTATGTTAGTTATTTTTGTCCATAAGTAGATAACTCATCATTAATGGCAAAGCTAGAAATTTATGTTGTGGGGTCAAATTTTTTTTTAAATATAAATAGTACACTAAAAAAAATTTTGTTTTTTATTTGGTGTTTTGTAAAAACTGAAATAACATTAGGTGAATATTTTTTTATTTAAGATAAATTATGGGTCTAAAATTTCAGTGAGAATCTAACTTTTAAATATTTGGACTATTTTTTCTTTTATGTTGCAACATTAACTTTATATTGGGGTTAAAATTTATTATAAGTTGAGGTCATTAAAATTATTGCTGATGACATATAATAGATTTTTGAAAATTTATGGGGTCAACTGACCCCCTATCAAGGCCTTGCCTCCCCCACTGCTCATCATCATCATAGATGTCATAATAATACGTAGGTTTTACGTCATAGAGACGACATGTTCATGGCCAATAGTTTTTTTTATTTAGTCTCCTTTTAACCATAATTCTTAATCCTTTGTTTATCGGTCACATCACATCTAATGCTTTATCTTCATCTTGAAGAAATTTAATTGTCTTTTTATAAGCATGCTTAGATAAAAGATTATATAAAACAAAAACGAATCAATAAGATTCACACAAGTAGGACCCGCTTGTCTCCTTTGCGTAACACTAACCCCATAATTTACATAACACACTGATTTACTACTATTGACAAAACTAATCTTCTAACAACCATAGGTTATATGATAAATATGTACAGATAATAAAAAAATAAATGTTACCAAGATTTTACCTAACATCCTTCTACTACCTATTGGTCCAACATGAAGACCGACCACCAAATTCTTAACTAACTTTCCACATTTTATATACATTAATTAAATTTTCCCCCAAACCAAATCCATTACCGGTTCACTATCTGCTCCAGATACACCAATTCAACCGCGTGGGTTGTTGACAAACACGATTGAATTGGTCTACATGGACCGGTTAGTTTACCCGGTTAAAAATATGATTTGATCAAACCCAAATGGTATAGATTTCTCATCACTAGACTCCCAAGTGACACCAACACTGTCCCTCCTCCATAGCGTCCTTGGTGATCTTGCGCTTCTTGATGTTGTTCCTTCTCAACTGCCTCTCGGCAACTAATCGGGAACGGTTCTTTAACACTTAGATCATCGATACCAATCTTCTCCCTAATCGATTGGATTATCTCGGGATCTATTAGGTTGCCATTTGCATCAGTCACATAGAACACATTCCTCGCTACACCATCTTTAGTCGATATCTCGGCTCTAGCAATGTTTAATCCGTTCTCCCTCAATACTCGTGTTACTTCCGCTAACAATCCCGGTCTATCCGCCGTGCATAACTCCAATCTCACACCCTGCATAAGAGTTATAACTTGTAAGTAAGCTACTAAAACCAATCGGTTAACCAAATGAGAGTTGTTCATCATAGTTACATACCTTAACCGTTCTTCTTTCAATTGCGGCTTGTAAACATTGGATCAAACGTTGTCTCTCCGGTTCCGAACTAACCGGATGTCCATCACTATGTCTAACATAGAATTCCAAAAACGCGGTTTCTCCAACCGTTCGAATCGCGGCGTGGAACACAATGTAAGCCATATCCGTCAATGTGCAAACAACGTCAAACAAAAGCTTCAATCGATCTTTGCACTGCAAATTCACAACAGAGTAACCACGTTTCGGAAGATTTTGAACCGAAACAATCGGAGATTTCTCGATATCAAACTTCTTCTCATAGTCACGGTCCATAAACATCCTCTGGTGCAACCTTCTCTCCATATGAGTATTGCCACCATAAGAAACACATGTTCTCGTGTCGTTTTGGTAACCATCATCGGCTTTAAGTAGATTACGTAGTTGTCCTTCTACCCGTTGAACCCGGTCAGAATCTCCGTCGATCGGAGTCCCGGAGTTACCGTCTTTAACATAAATCATAGACGCAATTCTACCGTTATGCGTCCATGCCTTAGCCTCAACAACATCACATTCAAGATCGGCTAAAACCGCGAAAACCTCTGAGAGTAAACCGACTCTGTCTGTTCCGGTTAACTCTAAAGCGGTTAAACCGGTGTAACCTTCGGTTTTACAATAATGAGACGTCTCAATCGACTGTGAAAAATTTCAAAAGATATATAGTCTTTAATTTCCGATATCATTCACAAAATTAACTGTGTAATTAAAGGATTAATTAATTTACCTTTTCAATGTAACGGATTAGGTTCTCGTCGGTTAATTTGTTTCCGTTAAGATCGCTCACATGAAAAACTGAAATAAGCGAAAATCAAACAATTAATTATATTACTAAATTCCTTAATTAGTACTACTATAATTAGCGTAAGATTAGGGATAATTAATTAATTACCATCCATGTTCCATTTTCCATCAGAGGAAATGTAAGCTTTTTTGATCCAGAGATTCATATCAGTGAGAAGTTGTACAGATTCAAGCAATATCCCTGGGCTTCTTGCGCTATCAATCTTTAAAGAAAAAAACAAGAAAAAGTTGATAAAAATCATTTTCAAATTAAAAAGAAGAGAGAAAATACGAAGAAACAGAGGAAGGTTGCGTGAGGGTAAAAACCTTGACGACAGTTGAATTAGGGCAAACTCCATTGTCAATTACGACCCTGCAAGTGACCATATAGACAGTGACCCTTTTAAACTCACTCTTGTGTATATGAATCAAACAACCAAATAAATTTTTAAAAAAAAATCTATTGAAATTGTCAATTAAAATTGACTTGTGATTATTACTGTTTATTATACTATTAGATGACGGTAAAGCCAGGATATGACGATGCCTTCCATACAAATTGGAGATTTTCTTTTTTTAATTCCAGAAAATTCTTTGAAACCTTAATTGTTTCAGCAAACACCGCAAATCATAATTACAATTAATTCAAACTCGCGAAAATTAAATTAAATATAGAACGAACATAGATAAAGGAATTAGAAATTTCTTTGAAGAGAAATCATGTTTTGACGATTTTATAAAAAAAAAGAAAAAAAGAAAAAAAAAAGATGTTTTGACGATTACAAGGAAAAAAGAGTTGATGGTTGAGAACAAGATCTTGTGTTTTCTTCATAGAAGATGATAATCTTCCATATCAATTTTTTTGAAAAAGAGTAATAAGATTTTTTTAAATATATATATACCTGGGCATGTTCATCCGTACAACAAGCTTCTCATATTCATTAGAGCAATCAGATAACTCCATCTTTTTTATTCTTCTTCTTCTTGCTTCTTTGTTTCAAACAATATTCCTTAAAACTCAGAAAACACCCTTTTGATCTTTCTTCTTCTTTTTCTTCTTCAGATGTTCATAAAACCAGAACAATTCATGTGCTTCTACAGAGCTTCTCTCTTTCTCTCTCTCTATTTTCTCCAGAGGGGCAGAGTTACTTCCAATTCTGTCTATAGAAGAATTTAATAGGATAAGAAATAAATGGTAATATAATAAATATATATAAATAGTATTTTCTAATTAAAATATCAAGTAGGCGTTAGGGAAAAAAATAAATAAATAAACAGACGCTGACCTGTTCCTGCTTTGGAAAACTCTGGGCTCCTCCCATAGAAAGAAAAATCTAAACCATTAGAATTTTCAAAAAACAAATCTTTCTTCATAGACTTTCCGTTCTTGTCTCCTGGATTCTTACCTACCTTCCCCTTTTTTTTTAATTTTTCACAATAATTAGAAGAAGCAAAAAAAAAAAAAAAAATCAATTGAGTTTGGCCGTACAATACAACAAAGCAAAGGGAACAACACTTTGGTCGGGGATCCTACGTGGCATATCACATGTGAGAGTTGTAAGATTTTATGCGCGGTTTGTCAACGGTAAAGTAACGACGTTAAAAAAATTAACGGCGTTAGTATACGGGATTTGCGTAGTAACAAATAAACACAGCCGTTGATCACTCCGGTTCCCGCGGAATGTCGGTTGTCTTCCCGCCAAATTTTTCACGTTCACACTCAGATATTTTTAGGTTATAAAACATTTGATTTCACATGTAAGAATGTTCTTCCTCTTTTTTTCACCTTCACATGTTTGTTGTTTCGATAACAACATTTCAGTAGCATTACAATTATCAACTTCACTTGTGAAATAATTAAATATATGAAACCTATAGGGGAGACATAAAACATATTTTGAATTTTAAGCATAACTTTGTGATTTATTTAATATTTTTTAAAAAAATTTGGAATTGCGAAAACTAGAAGAGAAAATAAAAGTCTTCGGTTTTTAAAACGCGTTGAACAAATGAAGAAACTGCTGGAAAAAATCATGTGTTCAAGAAGAAACGACCTTTAAAAGTAGTTGAAGGCGCGTCGAAGAAGTTGGTCGTACGTGTACCATTCGACATGTGAGCGACTTTGGTCGGTGTAGCTCGTTTATTTATTTAATTTTACATAAGATACACAAACATATTTCATAAATATTCACCGTCAGTTCACATAAATGATACTAATTCGTAACCGTCGTTCTGTTATAACATTAAATTCTTGGCACTATTTCTATAATGATTTAGTAACGGCAATAAAGCAAAAACCTCTTAGAAATAAGTTTGAAAGTGTCATGTGAAAATATAGTGAAGGTTCGAGACTTATTTAAATGGAAAGACATGATTCGTGTCTTCTTGAGTGCTTGTAGCACCGATGTGTTTTCGTCTTTTTATGGAGCCACGCCTATTTTAATATTTTCTTATACATTATAATGCGTTTATCTATACTTGAATCCGGGATCGGACATGGATTTTAGCGTATGATTATTGTTGTCACAAGAAAATATGATATGTACGTGACGTATGCATAGCTTTAGGTTTAAAGTTTAACTATTGTATAAATGGATTATGGATGTACAATTAGAAGAATTAATACGGATACTTGTTATTGGATCCATTTGTTTGGAAGGTAATCGACTTTTTTTTTACTCGATGTGAAAAGTCACTTTTAACTTTAATTTTGATAGGATCAAAATTCCACAATCGTCGCAGTAAGTGGTGAAACCACGAAAGTGGGAACGCACTTAATATAGTTATGTGGATCTTGATATATATATTGTCAGATCTGAGCCGTTGATCTCTTAAAAATCTTAAAAATATCAGAGAACAGATAGAGAGGATTAGGATTTGGTCAAAGATAGAACATGTGGTCACTGCATGCAACAGTTCTCACTTCTCACTTGTCACTTGTCAGAATTACCGTATTAAAAAATAAAAATAATATGCTTCTGGGTTTCATTTTATAATTGGTAACAAGCTATTTGGTCTGGTAACAAGCTGTTAGCTGTTAGCTAGAGCGGTTAGCTGGAGTTGTTAGCTGTTAGGAAATAGTGCAAAGCTGTACAAAAGAATAAAACGCGAAAGCTGTACAAAAAAATAACGCAGAACAAATTTTAAAAATTTATTCTGATTAGAAACATCATAGCGGTACACATAATAAATAATATTAAGAATTTAGAAAGAAAGAAAAAATTATATAGAAATATACTTTAGTATATAATTACATATGAAAATTAAGATTATATAGAATGAACAATATTTTATTGTTAGAATAATAATATGAATTTACTAGTCCTATAATAAATAAAATTTTCTTTATTTTGAGCAATATAACATTCCAAAATAATTGTTTGAGAAAAAAACTATTATTTCTAATGAGATTTTTTCGTAGGCTGTATTATTTTCTTTTTCGGAAATCTTTATATGAACATTCGAGACTTTTTTTTTTTTGCATTATACATAGTTACAATTATATTTTATAAAGTTTAATTATGCGGTTAATAATACGGTTAACCATGCGGCTAATCGTACTGTTAAATAAAAGTTTTGATACGTTTCCGGTATATTAACGGTTACGGTTATTATATTTTTTTTAACCGTAACTAATTTAGTTTTACGGTGAATAGTTATGGTTTTTAACCGTTTTATACAGTTACGGTTGAAAACGGTCCAGTTACGATCCAAAATACGGTTATGGTTGGCTTTTGGTCTTGCTTACTAGGCATGACCAAAAGCTAACCGTAACCATATGTTGTACCGTAACCGGACCGTTTCTCAACCGTAACCGTATAAAACGGTTAAAAACC